TTAAGTCTTTAAAATAATGAACTAGTGATTCATTACTGACAATAACAAATGCAAAGCAGCAAAAACATAACAAACATATCAAAATATGTATACGTACGTATGTACTAGGGATCCACCGATATGGCTTTTTCAAGGCCGATACCGATTATTAGTAATCAAGGAGACCGATAACCGATATTTGGAACCGATATTTGCAGTAAAATCAGAAAATCTTGGTGTCAAAATGTAGAATAACACAAACTCCAACACAACTTCTTTGAAATGCATTTAAGCATATATTATGTTTAATTAACTTTTAGACATCTTACAACTGGTTTCCTCTCTGTGCCCTTTTCTTTAGTGCAGCCGTCTGCAATGAGTTAGAGATAATAAAAGGGTCATATCACAGATAATGGATAATTTTGAGATTGTAATAGTATCAAATTAAACAATTGAATACTAATTGACGCAGCCGGAATGATTGTGTATATCCTAAAAGAGGAAGAATGACTACATTTATACACTGACTTTGTTCGCCTGCAATAACCTGATTAATACAGGAACCATTGAATTACTTCACATACTCTGCAGTAACTTATTTATTGTAAAACCTGTTTACCTGCAATCGTATTTCCACATTATTCCAGTACCTCAAATGCTCTACTTTATGCAGCACGTCAATGGTTTTAGGGGAAGTGGATTGAATTGATAGTTCACTTGTGTAAAGTTGGAGACATTTCAAGAGACATATTTTAACAACAAGAATGAACAGACAGGCTCAAATGTGACAGTTTATTCATGGCTACTGTAGATCTGCTTTAAAGGGCTACTTCAGTGTTTTCGTCTTGCTTCTCAGTCGAGTGAGGAACTAGCAATCAGAATCTAAGCAGTGCGTTTAGTCCTTTGTAATAATTAAGCCCCTTAAATTACTTCCTGAATTGCAACTTCTCAAAAACCACAAAATGTTTTACTAGATTCCTGTTAAGTCTCAAAGTACGTTCAAGTGCAGCTCCTGCAGTGCCCCAGAAGCCATTTTTAACAGACTGAGTAAGGACAAGAAAAACCTGCGTCCTACAACTCCCACAATGCAACACCACAGCTGAATGAATGTCTTTTAGATTCCCACTTTGTCTCTTACCGTCCCTTTTTAAGTTTATAGGTTGTTTTCTTCAATGTGATTTAAACCAAATCATTATGGTGACGGATTCTATGATTCAACTTATTTTTAATGTGGCTTACAAACCAAGATCATTACAAATAAGGCAAATGAAGCTAATTAGCGGTAGCTTTAACCCGTATGTTGTGTTCGGGTCTCACCTGACCCGTTTCAAGTTAAAATGATATAATATCTACGCTCTAGTTTTTTTATGGGAACAAGGCTTCATGATATCCTCCACAACAGCTATATCAACTCTACAAAACAGATTTTGACCATTTTAGCCAAGTCTGAAGGTCTCCAAAAAATAAAGGTATAATTTGGTGTTGGGGTCTGGGGAGACCCAGCAGAATTGTTGTGGGTGACTCGAGGTCAAATTTGGCCCAATCAAGATTCATCTTTGACTTTAGACACCCCTCCCCCGCCCCCTTCATCCACTGTAACAATAATTTTTCGCATCATGCACCTGGTCTCCCCTCCCTCTGCCCCCCTCCCCCCACGGGAACTCGGCCTTTCTCAAAGAATATGTGCACTAACACTTGAACCTGAACACACACATGCACGTGTGCAATATGTGGTGTAATGTGTTTTGGGCCATAACATTAAATTACAACAGGATTGTTCGGTTATGAATGCATTATAAGTTGGTTATGATGTAGTTCAAACAATATTGGATGATAGTCATTTTTTGTGTGCGTTTTGGACTGAGATAAATCATGGGTCAAAACTGACCCGCGAACACCATGAAAGGTAACGGCTTTCGAACACAACAGAAGGGTTAATGAGTTGGTCAAGCTAGCAGCATACTTATTTAGGAGAATATAATCATCTGAACGATGCTTACAAATATTCACCCTCTCCATCCTTTAGCTTATTCTAGCTACATATCTCTGACATACCTAACATTCACTCAGAAACACCAGACATATCCTCCTTACTTTTTCTTCTTCTTGACTCCTACCCGCTATTTCAGTTCTTCAAAGGTTAACCTCACTGTTGGCTGAGGTGGAGGAACTTAATATATCTCTGGGGGGAATGTGGTCTGCATAAATTACAACAAATTCTAAAAATGTAGCCTACGTCAGCATAAAAACCAGAAAGTGAGGCCTACCTCTAAACTCAGGTGAACGAGTCCATGCAAGGCTGAATCACATTGAAATCTGAAAGTGGGCCTTCTTTGAAAAAATTGTTGGTTTTAAATGAGTTAAATCAGGGGGTCCGCGGGGTCTTAAAAAGTATTAAAAGTTGATAAATCAATTTAGCGAAAATGAAGGCTATTAAAAAGTATGAAACGGTATTTTCCAAGGCATTACATTTTGTAGCTTGTTTTCAATAAGTATATAAATGGTCCAAAGAGGTTGTGTTCTACAGTCTGCCTGAATGTAATCATGGCGTAGGTGTGTAGTGTGATTCTGTGTAGTTTATTTATGGCATCCCGTTGGGTTTGACGTCATCTGAACAGGACATCGCACGCTCACTGCTTGTTAGCGCACGAAGGTCCGTTTACGCCGGTTGCTAAGCAACATCGTTATGGGGAAATGCAAGTTTGCGTCCAAATGGTTGGAAGGGCAATCAATACTGTATATAGTCAATGTAGGTTGAGATAAAGGTGTGGATGAAGCACAACTTTCTCCAGCTAAACAGCTCCAAGACTGAAGCCATTCTTATTGGCACTCCACATCCGCCATCACCAGCATCACCTTCTCTGGTCAGAACATTCCACTCTCACCAACGGTTACCAATCTGGGAGTTAAAATGGATCCTCACCTGACCTTTGAGGCCCACATCAAGCAAATATGCAAGACCTCTTTCTACCACCTGAGAAATATTGCAAAACTCCGCCCCACACTCAGTCTGCCAGATGCTGAAAAGCTTGTCCACGCCTTTGTCTCCTCCAGGCTGTACTACTGTAACGCACTTCTCATTGGGATTCCTAGCAAGAACATCCAGAAGCTGCTAGGATCCTGATGAGAGTGCGGAAGTACGAACACATCACACTAGGGGTGTAACGGTTCACAGAAGTCACGGTTCGGTTCGTACCTCGGTTTGGAGGTCACGGTTCGGTACGGTTCGGTACAACAAGAAAAAGCAAAAAAAAGTCCCAAATGCATAATTCCAGGTTTGTTGTTATTTATGTTTGAACAGTAGCAAGTTTCAGTTTAAAAATAAAGAACTCTTTTTTGAATAATGAACTGTATTAGACAGTTAAAAACAAACCATACACAGTACACTCAGATGGCCATATTATCTATAATGGCTGATGTCAAACAAAAAGGTTTCATCAAGCTGTAAAGCTAAAAAGAATGTCTTGAAAATATGACATCATAAATAATAAGAAAGTGTTTCAAGAGCGCAAAGCCATTGAAAAACATATGCCAAAAGCTTCCGTTATTTATTTTGGTCTCTCGCGGGGATAAGCTGTTGAACTGCTGCTGTCTTTTGCCGGGCTCCGGTGAGTGGCAAATCTGGGTGATGCCTTCTGATATGATTTAGCATGTTTGGCGTGTGTTACCATTAGCATACCGCACCACTGTAGAACAACGGCGACACACCGTCCTCGTCCGATCCACCACTCGTCCGATCCACCACTCGCACACTTAATCGTTATTGTAGTCCACAGGGAACCCGAAATGTTCCCACACAGCTGATTTAAAAGAAGCAGGTGGGTTCTAGCTCCTGTGTGTTATCTGAAATCGCCAGACTAACTTTTCTTCTTCTTGTATTTTGTTCGTTTTGTTGTTGTGTTTCTTCTTGTTCTTCATTTGTTGTTTAAGGGCGGCTGGCAAACAGCTTTTAGGCGCAATACCGCCCCCTGGATTATATATAGTGTAGTGGATACTGCCCTGAATGACAGACCTTTTTCCCACTCGTAAAAAAAAAGGCGTATTCGTCGTGTGACTGCGTGTGCCGAACCGTGACGTCCGAACCGTGACGGTACGGGACGAATACGGATACCGTTACACCCTTACATCACACCCATCCTCAAATCACTGCACTGGCTCCCGGTCTCACTCAGGATTGACTACAAAATCACCCTCTTCACTCATCAGTGCATATATGGAAATGCTCCCTCCTAAGTCAAGGAATTGCTCACCCCACAAACCTCCACGAGGAACCTACGTTCAGTAAAGACAAACCTCCTCATCCCACCAAGGACAAAACTGAAGACCATGGGAGACCGAGCCTTCTGCTCCGCTGCTCCGAGACTGTGGAATGCCCTCCCAAACCAGCTGAGGACACCACAGACTGTGGAGGCTTTCAAAAAAGGCCTAAAAACGCATCTTTTTAGAATAGCCTTTAACTAGATTTTTAAATCCCCCACATTATGCCATACCGGCATGAATGTCACAGCTTTTATTATGTTGTTTTAATTGTTTTTAAATGGTTTTTTATTGTTTTAATTTTTAATTTTGTAGCACTTTGAGTTTTGTTTACGCAAATGAAAAGTGCGCTTATAAATAAAATACATTATTATTATTATTATTATTATTATTATTATTATTATTATTATTATTATTATTATGTGAGGTAAAGTGTGTCGCCAAGGTAACCGGTTAAAACTCGAAGTGGCGATGAGTTTCTTAAAATGTATGGAAAGGGTCTTAAAAAAGGTCTTAAAAGGTTTTACATGTGACTTCAGGATTCCTGTATACGTAAATGCATCTTAGAAAAGTATTTTATTTGACTGAATTCTTATGTTTTGGAGGTGAGACCTTCTGTCTGCATGTCTGGTGTCCCTGGTGGTTTACGAGACAAGGTCAGAGGTCCTCTTAACATGGCCCGTGTGAAGATGAGACGCAGGAAATGTGTGTCAGTGTCAAAGGTTAAAGGTCGTCCTCTCTTTTTATGTGTTCTTCTCTACCAGGCACTCCAGAAGTTGGCGAATCAGTATCTAAAGAAGGAATGGCCGGAGAGTCTGACAGAGGACCAAACGGATCAGAGGTAAACACTTTCTCCACTGTCTGTTTGTGATGTTGATCAGGCGTTTGGTCTTCTACATTTGTATATATCTTGACACATGGCATGTCTGTCTAATTCTGTCTAATTAAAGGTGACGATAGTGTGGCAGAAATTTATTTACATCACCATTTTCTTCCACAGTTCTTAGGGATGAAAACAATTGCAGCACTTTTTACTGATAGTATAAACGATTGGCTGCTGGTAACAGATTAGATGATTCATTATGTACGTATGTCCTTTTGTTTATGTTTGGTTTTAGGAACATGTATTGTGTATGGCGGGCCTATTTGGAGGGCACGGTCCAGGTCACCCAGTCCAGAATCAGCGCCTGTGATAACTACAAAGTCCAGGTGGCAGATCCTGCAAAGACGGTCCGACTTCAGAAGGAGCAGCAGCTGAGGAAGGTAAACAGATCTGATCAAAACATGCTCTTTGTCCTCTGATCAGAACAATGTAAACTATCAGTGAACAACTGATAAACTGCGCAATATATGAGTCCAGACGTCACATTAGCAGCGCTTATCATTAAATAGATTAATGGGATCTGAAGGGTGATTTATGAGGGATTTATTATGCGTTTTACCAACAGTAGATTCAGATAAAACGGACAGGGGTACCAACAACAAGCAAATACATGTATTAATGTGAACCACATAAAGAAATCAGTATCAGTTAAAGGTCACCTATCATGCTATTTGTAGGCAATAGCATAGGTCTCAGTTATATAAACATATATAAAAAACATGTCTATGAAGTGTTTTGCTCAAAATACCAAACAGATCACCCATTCTAGCCATGCCTCAAATCCCTCTATTTCACTTCCTGTTTCTAAAGTGCTGATTTGGGGTATAAAGCTTTAAAAAAGCTACTGTCTAAACTAAATGCTGCCGTGATGAAACGCCATATCATGGATTATCAAGGATTCTCTCTGAAACAGTCTGGAGCTCAAAGGCTTTCTCTCTTGCCGGTTATACCACAAGGTGAGTTCCTTTTTACTTCCTGCTTCTTCACACATATGCTCTCCAGTACAGGTTAGCTCTGAGTGTTAGCGATGCTAATGTAAACACCGACCATATTACGTCCAAAACAGTCGGGCATTGTTTCTGATAGCAACGTTTCTGATTGGGCCGTGGGTCCACATTTCAGATATTACGTCATATCGGACACAAATCTGGATCAGCTCCGTTGTTCCCCGTTTTTAGAGATTTGGGTACGGGGGAAAAGAGAGAGGGTTTTATTTTCTGACACTGCGTGAGTTCCCCGACACACCGGGGACACATATTTATTAGGGCTGTCAAGTTAACGCGTTAATAACGCGTTAACGCAAACAAAATATAACGCCACTAATTATTTTAACGCGATTTAACGCATGTGTATTTTTTGTCCTCGGCCGCCCCGTAGTTTCAGAGCGCATCGAGTTTAAAATACCATCTACAAGCTGATGCTGACAGCCCCGCTCCTCCCGCCCGCTTGCAGCAGACCACACTTCCACGCTCACCGGCAGGCACCGACTGGCCATCTGGAGGACCGGGAGGGTGTGTGGCGCGAGAGAGAGAGAACAGGCACACCTTACGTGTATTGTTGTTGTTAGCATCTGGTGCTAGCTAGTTGCGCCGAGCACTTGACTTTATGCAGGTAGCCAGACAGTGGGACATTGTACGAAAAGTCAGCACACTCAACACGCAACATGATTGCAGCGTCCAGGCAGCTCCTGTTCGAGCATATGCCTGAGTTGCACATAGCTCCAACGATCCATCACAGTGTCTCTCCACACACACACACACACACACACACACACACACACACACACACACACACACACACACACACACACACACACACACACACACACACACACACACACACACACACACACACACACACACACACACACACACACACACACACTTTGTATTGTATGAGAGAGGTTCCAGGTTAAATTGAGGTGAATATATTTAATGTTCAGAGGTTATTGTGTTTAATATTGATGAGAATATTTGTCATTGATCAAATGATAATAAACACACATATAAAGCATATTTGTCCACTCATATGTTGATGAGAGTATTAAAAACTTGAAAAATATCCCTCTAAGGAACATCTAGAACAGATAACAAAGGTGCGATTAATCCCGATTAACTATTTTAATCGACTGACAGCCCTAATATTTATGTATAAAAGACATCAAAAAGTGCTTTTGCATGATAGGTCCCCTTTAACCTGTTGAGCCCGGAGCCTGTTTTTCAGGCCTCAGGCTCGAAAATGACATTCCCAGAACAATTGACTATATCTTCACTTCTAAAAGGGGTAAATTAATACAATCAATTCTCAAAGCAAGGATAAACCTGTGAGTTGGATGTAGACCAGTCAGAATCAATATAGAATTGTTTTATTGTAAAGTAAATTCAGATTGAACATAGTAAAAAATTAAATTATAGTGTCCGTCCAAAAAAAAACATTACTTATAGTGAAAACCACCCTTGAATGATCGGATAGTAGACTAAAAGGAATCCAAACTATAACAGATCATTAGTATCCTGTATCAAGATTGATGCAAAACAAGTGACATTTGACCTTTTTAGAGAGGTTTAGCAACAAAAAACAACAAAAAAGGATTTGGGTGGATTTGCCGTTTCTCTGGAACCCATTGGTCGATTTTGGTGATTGACAGCTCTTTTCAACCGCTAGAGCCAATAGAATTGAAGGGGAAGTTCCACATACACACATTACCATTGACAAGTGAGAGAAAGCAATGTTATGCTCTGGAAACTGCAAACTGAAACCTAGGCTCAAACTAGTAAATATGAAGATGGATTATCAGGAATCATTTCAAAGGGACACAGACACATTGGATTAACCTTCAGCAGCGTTTTTATCGTTTTGATGCCATTGAACACAAATTTGTATCAGAACAACAGCTAAGGTAAGAAGCTTCCTCCGTGAAGCTACGTGTCTGTTTTCGCTTGCCCTGTCGCGAGTTCGGATCGCTCAGTGATGATACTTATATTTCTGGAATCTGTGGAATCTCAGCTTGCTAATCGATATCTTGTTTTTGCAGATACGATAAGTAATAAGGGTATTTACGCTGTGAGTTCTCTGCTAAGTGCGATAGCATTTCTTCGCTCAGCGCTTATTTAGACGCTTCTTGTGAGACTTGTGTTTTGTTTCGGCAAAAATGGTTCATATCGTCAGGTACTGAGTTTCTTCCCGTTAGTTGGGTATGACACATTCCTAGCTTTTTAAATATTAAGAAGCCCTCAGACGCTGTTTCTTGCAGTGATGTGTTTCTTCCCCTGCCCGCGGGGGAATGGGGCATCACAGGTGAAATTCTAAACTATATAAGGAATATTTTCCCCGCTTTACCTTGCTGTCAGAAAGCCCTTTCCACAATGAACTGAAGCTGTATATAGCTCTCTTTAAATCCACGGGTGTTTTTACCTTGCAGAACAACGGATTCTCTGCATCTATCAGTTGGTTTCTTTGTGTTTTTTTGGTTTAGTTCAGATTCACCAAAGTTACAAGAAACACAAACAACTCAAGGCAAAACCTGTGTTCTGTACGGTCAATGTATTGTTTGTCTGTACTATTCTTGTGAACACTATATCTAAGAATCAGATATAGATCTTAAATACTTAAATGAATTTCTTTAAATCTCCACTTGAACTCAAGGATAAACGGATAAGAATATGGTGGTCAAAGGTCAAGGTGCTGTAATCTCACAGGATCTGTTTATGGCTATAATTCAAGAAGGAATTTGTCAATATAAAAATGTTACACACGTGTCTTTAAGTGAGGACATTTTGGCAGATATTGATATAAACTGCAACTGACTGGTTGGCAGAGGTATAATACTTTGAGGTTGTAAAGGAGTCCGGTGGCTTTAAAGGGAGCACCTATAAAGATTATTGATTGCAAGGCAAAGTGGTGGAAATCATTTTAATCAAGCTTAAATGTAAACCTTTTAAATATGTTGCTGCTGCTTATGTTCCTCCAAATGTATGGCATGCTATCTCCCATCTACTTACTGTATGATGGTTACCTTACAAATCCTGCTTCAAGAGATCCAAACTGTCCCTTTGATGACCGTTAGCAGCCCATTATCAATCCCACTCTGAAGTGGATCGCTGTACGTCTGGAGTCTATTTCCCGATCCTGATGCCTTAATCCTCCTTCTCTCTCCTGCAGCCTACAGAGCTGCTCTTGTTCACAGCCCCCTATTTGTAGCTGCTGTATCCCACACACCATCCTGACATTACTCACCACACAGGGATTTGCATACTTTTCAGGTGATGCATTGCAGGAATAATAATAATTTCCATAAATGTAAAACTTAAATGTCTCCATCCTCAGTGTATTGATCAGCTGACGGTGGTTCAAGCGGAGCTGCAGGATTCCGTGAAGGAGCTGACGAAGAGCCGGAAGAAATACCAGGAGGCCGAGACCATGGCTCAGGCCGTCCGAGAGAAGGCCGAGCTGGACGCCAAGTACGAACCAAAATACTCTACTGTGATTATTAGAATTGACTGATGTTATCCCGAGTTGAATAAGCCATTTGTAAAGTGGAAATGGTCGCTGCTGCACGGGAAACATCACATTTCAATGAATAGTTTACTTTATAAAATAAATAGTACCAATCAATTGACAATTGTTTGTAAGAGCAAACAAGTTCTACACACAACTAGAGCCGAAACGATTCGCCAAGTTACAAAGCAATTCATTTGATGATTAAATGATCATTTCAGTCAATGTTCGAGACAAATACCAAGGATTCGATGTTTGTAACTTTCCCTGTGAGGATTCTTTGCTTTTTCTTGCATGACATTATAGTTTAGTAAATATCTTACATCTTTATACAAGAAAAGCATTTGCAATACAGCACTCTAGGCTTTTAGGTCTTCTGATTCACAGTGTTTCACAATTTTCTAACCACCTCACCTGACCAAATTCATTAAAAGAAAACTCCAGAGAAGTTTGAGCCATGTAGAAAACAAACCTGCTTTCGATTCAACCTTTTTAGAATCACATACACTACTTGTTCCTCATTGCAAAATCCTGAATCTATGTCACGTGGACACAAGATGTTTCCACATGACGCTTGTGTAAGTTGCATATTGGACCCTCGTTTTAATTATATCTGTGATGTCACCAATCATGCCCAATGGTATATTTAAGCAATAGCTCACGACAGGCCGTGGTATATGGTCCTTATATCACAGCTAAGGGGCGTGGTGTTTCTCAGACGCGGAGGGATACTGCAAACTACAATTTTACCCGTGATATACGCTCATTATATCACGGCTAAGAACCAATCAGATTGTTTGATAACATCCAAGTGAAGCAACAATAAGCCAAAGATGTTTTTGAGGTGAAAAACAAACTACTTATCAAACTAATCAATGATGGTAGTACCCATTAGTTTCCAGTCTGATATTCAGGTGTCTCTTCTCCACGTTTAGTCCTGGCACACATTACCAGCTGGCTCTTTGCCTCTCCACATTGCAGACATTTCTCTGCCCATCAGGAGAGTTTATTATAGGGTGAAGCTCTGCAGCCGGAAAGGCTTAGCAGCTGCGTTGGCACTCATTCTAATACTACAAATACTACTTCAGGCCTCATGTGTAAACACACACATTCTTCACAGTGTCTGCAGAGGGACTTGAGGTCATTGAGGTGCAGAGAAGTGAAGTTGGATCATTTACTGTCTGTGGTTCTTCAACGTTTTTTTCTTTTGCTAAATCATTGCACAATCTTCCCTTCCTACGTGTCTGTTGCAATGTGTAGTTGCTTTCTGTTCAATCAATGTGTTAACATTTAGAAAAACAGTACAACTAGGTTATGCAGGTCATCGGAGAATACTTTTACATGCACTCAAGTAACCTGGTGACTGTATACTCTGAATACATTCAGCAGTAATCAGATTGCTCCCCTCCAACCGTCCTTATTCTGGTCGCATGGCTTGCTTATTCCAACTAAGTGATGGATGGACACACACACACTCACACACACACACACTCACTCACTCACTCACTCACTCACTCACTCACTCACTCACTCACTCACTCACCACTCACTCACTCACTCACCACTCACTCCCATCACCCTCACACACCCTCACTCACACTCACCACTCACTCACTCACACACCACTCACCACACACCACTCACCACGCACCACGGCCCACGCACACACACATCACTCACCACTCACACGCACTCACGCACGCACCACGCACGTCACACACGCACTCACCACTCACGCACTCACGCACACTCACGTCACACCCCACACTCACACACTGCACTCACTCCACTCACGACCACCGACCACTCACCACTCACACACCACCACTCACCACTCACACGCACTCACTCACTCACTCAACCACACACCAACACGCACACACACACCACTCACACACACCACTCACACACACCACTCACACACACCACTCACACACACCTCACTCACGTCACTACTCACCACCACGACACACTCACTCACCTCACACTCACTCCACCTCACACACACACAACACCACCACTCTCACTCACTCACTCACTCTCACTCACACACTCACTCACTCACTCACTCACTCACTCACTCACTCACTCTCACTCACACACACACTCACTCACTCTCTCACTCACTCACTCACTCACTCACACACTCACACACTCACTCACTCACACACACTCACTCACTCACTCACACACTCACTCACTCACTCACTCACTCACTCACACTGATGGATGCCTTTGTCTCATTGTCTCTGAATTTTACAAATAGTCAAATGTTGAGTTTTCAAAAGCGTACTTTACAATATTGGTTCAGTTTCTGTTGGACTATAGATGCAGTTATTTTAAATACAAGAATGCATTGCTCCATGAAATAAAGTCTCTCCTTGTTTAAAGTCTTGCTTATTCACATGCATTCGTGCTAAACATTTATTTAGAATTAGTGGTTGCAGCTGATCATTGTTCTCTGTGGGAAATATAGCAGAGGAAGGCAGATTTCTTCAAACCAGCTGTATTAGACATATAAGAAAGTGTTTTAAGCTGTATGCTAGCAGCTAGCCTCCTGGTCCTCTGTGCTGTGTATATTCGAAACTACAACTGTAAGAAATATTGAAATACTGTTGAAATACTTACTTCTTCCCAGGTCCAGGCTAAGTCTCTTCCAGTCCAGATCCAGTCTTCAGAGAGCAACCGTCAAGGTATGAGATTTAGATATTTCTCAACTGCCCCACATTTTGTTACATGTTGGTGTTGCATCTCATCAGTTATACACTTTCATTTCCCAGCTGAAAGCCAAGAGAAGCGAGTGCAACTCCAAAGCAACACACGCCCGTAACGACTACATTCTCATGCTAGCAGCCGCTAACGCTCACCAGCAGCGCTACTACAACACAGACCTCATGGACTGCATCAAGGTGAGGCTGACCGTCACTCTGAGTGGTTGGATGTGTGTCTGGTGGAAGATCAAACGTGTTCTCCAGAAACTTATAGGGGGGATATTTGTGTGCAGGTGTTAGACGGCAGGATCTACGAGCAGGTGAAGGATTACCTCGTCTCGCTGTGTCAGACGGAGCTGGAGAGTTACCAGGCCGTCCACAACACCTTCAACCAGCTCCTCAACAGCTCCAACGGGGTGAGTCTTCAAACACACTGGACAACCAGCACTACAATTCTGTATAGTCCTTTTTCAAATCTGTTGACTGATGCTGTCAAGTCGGATTTTCTACTTTTATTCACTTAAATGAGACACCTGCCCCGTGCTTATTTAAGAAACAACCGAAATATAAGATAGATAGAACTCAAATGCTCCCAAAAGCAATGTCTCTGCCAAAAGCGCTCAGTATATTTGGTAAAAATAAATATATCAATTGTATCAGAACAGGTGATTCAATGGGTATTTAGTTAATTGTTTGGCTTGATTTCTTTTATGGTACCTTAAGTGCTTTCCTTTCCCACTAAAAAGCTGCACAAACCTTTGATAGGAATGAAAGTTTAGAAACACGTTGAAGTTACCCTTTATTATGAGAAGATGTATCGCTCTACTCTCATGATTATGCAGAGGTGTTACACAGTGGAGGGTTTGTGTATTCGTCAATATGGGAGTCAGAAATAGTTTGACTTCAAAATAAATCTGCTATTTCAACACTACTTTTTACCTTAATGGGCAGCAAAATGCTCACATAAAGTGTGCAGGCTCAGGTGGACAAAACATGGGAACAGATATGAACTGAAATGAACTTATTGCACATAAACATGCCCTGTTGTCCTGAGAGAGAAAGTGCTGAAGGAAGCATCCATTAAACTCAGTGCTGCTCTGTGATGCTAGTTCAGATACTTGGCATCTCATCTTGGGTGCAAGGTCATCAATGTTTGTCTCTGAGCTGAGGAGACCCTCAGGATGGAGTGAAGGTGTGCGTGCAATATACCGGAGGGCCAGATCTAATAGGAATTAGAAATTATCCTGCGGGCCGAAATTAAATCCACCACGGGCCTGATTTGGCCCCCGGGCCTTGAGTTTGACACAGTGTGACTTAGATGCATAAGTGGGTATTTTTTGACCCGGTGAGCTGGTTTTCTTGAAGTATCTTTGTAATTACATTTTTTTATCATTTCATATTCCAGCTATTCCTCAAAAAACATGTTTTGGATATCAAGCCTTTCACTTTTTAAATGTTATACATTTTAAGAAATTGTAGTTTTTGTTTCTACCCCAAGCTTCCAGTGGGTCAAAAATTACCCGCATGCATTTCCTATCGGGATCCTATGGGAACCTTTGGTTCTTATCACCTGTTGCTGTCAGGAATACATTCACTGTGGACCACAGACTACATCACAAGTGACACCTCTCAGGAAGATTGTTTTACACAGCCAGATCTGATACCTGTCAGTATCATAATAATACAAATAATACATTATATTTGTATAGGGCTTTTCAAGGACTCAAAATCGCTTTTCAATCTAAGGGAAGGTTAGGGTGGGGGGTATATTTCTTTTTTAGAAACCTGTGCTGGACTATGGTGATTTGTTGTATATGAATGAATTGAAACTGAGCAATCTCATTCCTCTGCATGTTTTTAAAGCTAGGCTAAATGAAATGCTCGTTGATACTATGGGCACTTGTAAATGTCTATAACTATGTAAATGTATCCTGTAAATATAATGTATGATGTCCTTTATTGTGTTATGCAGAGGTCGCGTTAACCGAATATTTTCCGTCTATGACGGATTTTTTTTAACAATGACGGACAAATCTGAAAGCAGTCCGTCTGACAGATTAGAACAAACTCGGAACAGCGCCAAAGTGTCCCCGCAGCGAGGCTCCGGTGTTATGCCGTGTTATGCATGCCCTCCAAAAAGGAAACTATACCGTTTCCTAACTGCCGTACAGATCATTGAAATGTCTGTGAGTTTTGGCTTTACGCTGTGCACGCTCCCGCGAGGTGCAGCAGCCATGCATAACACGGCGCATGTGAACTGTTGTCGTCGTCCCCGTTGACAGTTCACGAGCATGCTTTCCCCCCCCCCCCCCCCGTCAGAGTTGTGTAAAGGCCGACGGGTAATTCTGGATTTTGACGGAAGTTTTACGATCCTGTCCGTCAAAATGACGGGCAGCGAAAAAGTCTAGCGCAACCTCTGGTGTTATGTTTCACGTGGAACCTATATGCTGCAGGTCTCCCTTGAAAAAGAGATCTATGATCTCAATGGGTCCAATCTGGTTAAACAAAGGTTTGAAATGAAATGAAAAATAGGACTATCAAACTTGATCAACCGGCATGGATTGATGGGGGGTGGGCTATGAGTAGACAAGAGGAGAAGAGATGAGTTTTGAAAAGGGACTGGAATACTGTGAGGGTCTCAGAATAGCGGAGATCTTGGGGGAGGGAATTCCAGATCATGGGAGCTGCCACTGAAAATACTCTTTCCCCAAAGCTGCCTAGTTTGGACTTGGGGGGGACAGGAGATCCTGCGGTGGATCTGAGGGACCGTGAGGGTTGGTAAGGGGTGAGAAGACCAGTGAGATAGGGGTCGGATGGTGGAGGGCTATAGGTGAGGGCCAGTATTTTGTAGTCGATGCGTTGGGAGACGGGAAGTCAATGAAGGTCTGGTGTGATGTGAGGAGTCGGGCGGCTACATTTTTTACAATTTAGAGTCTATCGAGGGAGGGGGAGCGGATGCCGTAGAGAAGTGAGTTACAGTAGTGAAGGTGGGAGGAAATAAAGGTAGGATAGGTCGTTCAGCTGCAGGGCCGGTAAGAGAGGGTTCGACCTTTGCATCAATATGTTCAAAACGTTTTTTTTCAAATTGTAATTTTTTTTTTCTAAAATTACAAATAGTGAAAAATGTAATATAAAATATTTCTAGTGTGAACCAAAATATAATACTAAATATTAATATAAGTGATTTTTCTTAACCAAAATGACCATAAAAACACATATTACTCTAATACGGGTCCTTTTTGACCCACTTATGGAAGAGTGTAGGTCCAGTCACTCGTGCATCTAGGGTTAAGATGTGTTCAGGACATCTCCAACCTTACTAAGAGCTCTGCCTCACCGCCTGCTAATGAATTGGCAGGTTAGAGTTTCCTCTGCGCTCCTGGGTTACACTCATTGAGCTTCGTTAGCCTCTCTGTTCAGGTTCATCTTGCCTCTCTGCTGGCGTTTAGTTTCTTCTCGGGTCAGAATAAGAACAAATCATTAGAGAGGGACGCAGCGGTTTTTCAGGCAGAGCTCACATTTCAGTGCTCACGTGCTTCCCGTGAAAACACGACTCCCCTGCAGCAGATCTTATGTGAGCTCTGTGTAGAGGGACATTTTGATTTCACTCCATGAAGTGATCATGACATTCTTTAATATGTTGTGTTAAGCCTAAGTCTAAATATGGCGTTTCATATGAAAATGTAGGAAAAGTAAATAATTTCTCCACCTCTGGAGGCTAATGAAGGTTAGTAGCGAACTGACATTTTAAAAAACTGTGGGATGTCACATACAGGTCATTACTTTTAATGTCTGTTAATTCTTTACATCTACAGGGCTTTGTCTTTTAAAGAGTAAAAAGGAACATAAAGAAACTGTTTCTGAGTAACATATTACATTAACTTTTATTGAATTGTAATTGTATTTTTATTGTAATTTGACTCCGTTTTACAATTTTGTATTATTTTATTCCTGTATTATACATTCCTGCTTTGGTATTAAATGTTATTTTTAATCACAAAGCTATGTGTTACTCTGGTTATGACCAGGGAAGGGGGAGATAGTATTGTTTGTTTTTTTGTAAATTGGCTATGTGTTTGGTTTGTGAAGCACCTTTGAGTTACCTTTGTGTGTGAAAAGTACTATATAAATATATTTAGATTTGATTACATTTAAGGATTTTTTTGCAAGAAGGGTTGCTGAAGAGCAGGGGTGGGGAACCTCCGGCCTCCGGGCCGTATACGGACCGCGAGACCATTTGGTACGGCCCTCGAGGTAATTTATAAACACACGCAAAAAAATAAAGAATTCTAGAACGCAAAATAATTAAACAAGCGAGTGCCTGTTTTTCCTGGCCAAGGTCAGGGTCCTTGAACACAACACGAAGGTCAGGGTCCTTGAATACAACACAAGCCTAAGTATCTTCTCGGGGGAGCATGCCCCCGGACCCCCCTAGAGGAGGTTAGGTCCCCCCCCACTTAAATCATGTCCACATGTCCATGTCTCTGCGGTCCTGCCTTGGGTCTCGTCATGCTGCTTCCCTGATGGCTTCCTCAGGATTGTAGCTGACATCCTCGTGGATTCATCTTCTTATTACAGACACATGCATTTCCTAACATTCGGTCTATATGCTGTAAATGTATTATCTCTTTGATTTCCACACGGCATCTATTGCACGTCTGTCTGTCCTGGGAGAGGGATCCCTCCTCTGTTGCTCTCCCTGAGGTTTCTCCCATGTTCCCTTTAAACTGTGGGTTTTCTCTGGAAGTTTTTCCTTGTACGATGTGAGGGTCTGAGGACAGAGGGTCTAAGGACAGACGGTCTGAGGACAGAGGGTGTCGTTTTTCTCATACTGAGATTCTGAACAATCTGTGCTGTTGTATTTGCTGTAAAGTGTCTCTACTGTAGGCTAATTTTATTATATGTACAGCACTTTGGCTCCACCAAAAATCGTTTATAAATGTGCTATATAAATAAAACTAAATTTGATTTGATTTGGATAGGAAACTAAATACATTTGCACACATCTTGTGTCCATATCTTTCTGTTTTGGTGATCATGCCACAACCGTGCACGTGCATGCATGCGCGAGTCATGGTGAGATATCTGGATTAAGAGGTTGCTTTTTCTTTGCACAGGATGAAAGAAAGGCCAAATGAATGGGCTGTATTTTTATGCAGAGGTCAATCATTTATACGGCCCTCGGAGGATGTTGAAAAAATTGAAATGGCTCTTGAGAGGAAAAAGGTTCCCCACCCCTGCTCTAGAGCTATGGCTTATTTCTGGCTATACTAAACTATGTACTTCTTCTTTTCCCTTAAACACACACACACACGTAGGTTCTGCAGGAGTTCCACCAGCAGCTGTTTGTTGAGAAGAACCTCATGTTTCAGCAAGCCCCGGACTTCATGTTCCAGCCCAGTGACACAGATACGGTAAATCCTGGCTTTTATATTTTATATGTTACCGCTTGATGAATGAACATAAACTGGAAAATTGCTTGAATTTTTGTGAAGTTTGAGAGAGCCGAATTGATTTGTGCTTTTCATACAAAATACACACGACTCTACTGAAACCTCACTTGCCCAATTGTGCATATGTGATCTGTCAAAAAAATGTATTGATTGATTTACATATGTTAACATGTCGGGAGGTTACCGTTAGCTACAAATTGCTTTACACAAATCATGGTTTAAACAGCCTTCCATAGAGTCAGCAGAAAGCTGCTACAAATCAGAGAATTTAAAGAAACCTTCCTCATGGTTTCCTACAGTAAACACAGATGTGAGTGTCGTGGCTTTACAACATGAAATGGACTTCCTGGATTGTATTTCATTGTTTCCCACCAGAACCTGAGGCAACATGGCCCCACCTGTGCAGCCCCACACTTTTCTTTATCTTCTATGGAGTAATGCTTTCAGTCTGAGTCTCCTGCTGTGATCTTATCAGAATCTGCTCTCCCAGCTGCTTCGCTCGGGGCTATAAACGTGCAGTGTAACATTTGCATCCTAAAAGTGCAATCTGTTCTGCGCCTTTGCACACCTGTTCATGGAGTCCATAGCGTCTCAGTTTCAACCCATATACTGGTCATTAATAGCATGTTTTGCTCTCTATAAATCATTGAAATATCAGAAGCAGAATTCCTTTATTAGTCCTGCAGCGGGGGAAACGACAGCAATACAACAAAAGTGACATAGCAGATAAAAGGCAAGCTATAATTAAGTAGCTTGCACGTTAAATATAGGGTAAAAGCACACATGACATAAGTAATAGAAAATACAAATAAACACAATTAAGTAGCGAACACATTATGGTTTGAGATATTATTTAAAAAAAATTGCAAATAAAAACAATAATGGTTTTTGCACATATCAGCAAAAATGTCAAATTAAGTCCAAAAATATTCTGACTTTAAGACCAAGAGAGATGTATTGGGGTGGATGCTGCACTTGAATGTAGTGTACTGCAATCCATATCACATACACATACATACATACACACACACACACACTCACATTCACACATACACACACATAAATACACATTCACACATACACACACACACATACATACACATAGATACACACATACATACATACACACACACACACTCACATTCACACATACACACACACATACATACACACACTCACATTCACACATACACACACACATACATACACATAGATACACACATACATACATACACACACACACACTCACACTCACACATACACACACACATACATACACATAAATACACACATATACATTCACACACACACACACACACACACACACACACACACACACACACACACACACACACACACACACACATACACATAAATACACACTCACATTCACACATACACACACACACACATACACACATTCACACACACACATACATACATATAAATACACATACACACACACACATCACATACACACACACATCACACACACACACACACATCACACACACACACACACTCACATTCACACACACATCTATCCTGGCTCTAGTAGTCTGGTCCTCCCTTTGCTCTGGTCCTCTGCCTCACTGGACAACACTGGACAATTTGTTCAAACTGCAAACGCTGGCGTTGTTTTCATTGGAAGTCAAACAAGCAGCAGCCTGTTCCTAAAGAAAACATTAGTGGTGGAGAGCTTCCCTCTCTCCCCTCTCTCCCCTCTCTCCCTCCCCTCCCTCACCACTCGCAGCAGACAGAGAGGGATCCGGTAAGGCAATAGAGCTGAACTGGGAGGGAGGTTCATCTGTGAAAAGGAGGCATTGTGAGCCTCATCAGAGAGCATGCCCCTCCCCACCCAGGCCCTCCACACACACTCTGCTCTTAACTCACATTTTAGGCATTTATATCAATCCTAAAAGAAGAAATCTCAAAATGAAATGCAGTAATTGTCCATATTTGGTTTATTAAGAGACTGCCATGTTAAATTAGAGCTGAACCAATCACTGCCAGATGTAGGAAGATGTGTCTCAGTATTATTTGTGTGAAAAGATTGACAATGTATGCATTATTTGTATTCTTTAAATGTAAAACACTTCACCAGAAGCATTTTGTTGTTTGCAAATATACAAAGAAAGTCTGTAAATCCATTACATTTATAAGAAAATGAAAGCATTTGTTAATATCTTTCTCATATGTATACTTAGTCTCAGAAATAGGCCTTCATACATGGTATAGAATAGACATTTATTCAGAGTCTTCTCCAAGCTGTTTTGAAAATACAAATGTTCATCTCCAAAAATAAAGCAATATAAAAATTAATTAATTAAAAAAATTTCGATGGATTAAAACGAATGTTTGTTGTCCACAGCTGACGTTAAATTGGCTTCTTTCTGCTTATTGATATGACTGCACATAGGCTGCATCTCACTTCGGTTAAATGGATTCCTTGCGTCCCTCACTTGCGTCGTTTCCCTGCGACTAGTCCCTCCCACCAGGGAAGCATGGAGAGACGCAAGGAAACCACGAGAAGCAGGGAAATTAGTTTTAAGAGCAATGGGACGTCGTTTCCTACGGAGCGTCACGTGAAGCGACCCGTTTGTGATGACGCTGCACAGCTGATCGTCTGACAGCAGCCAGATCAGTGCATGCGCTGCATCGTCCAATCAGTGAGCGATACACAGTAAGGGGGCGGGGCGAGTGTCTGAGGATTTCACCGGAGGATGGTCTGGTAGTTCCTCGATTATTGCTCCTCCGTTATCGATCCTCGGTCCTCCGGCACAAATAAGGCCACTGGGAACGGTACCCAAGACGGCGCAGACAAATCAACTTCCAGTGACACCGAGCCCGAGGAGCGAGGAAATGAAAAATAACCGAAGTGAGACACACCCAAAGTCCCTTGATCCTCCTTAGCAACGGTCTGCTCTCCTTAGCAACGGTCTGTTAGCGAAAATGAACAACCTCTGGACTGTCCGAGTTGACCAATCATAATTAAGTATTCCATTAAACTGTAATAAGGGAAACATTATGTGTATCTGCCCCTGCTGCACCCTGTGTAAGGTAAAATAAAATAGCAGTTGGATATATTTAGATTTTATACTTTAAGTAAAGTGTGATTGCTGAACATTTAAAGCTATCAGAAACAACCAGGGGTTTTATTTAGGGGTTTTATTTGACCAACATGCCTTCATGACTGAGAAAAGCTGTTTGCTCTTCACTGTTTCTCAGTTTAAAAATATATTTCCCCCTCTTCGTACATATTTGAGAGCCAGCTGGGTTATGACTTTATAAATAAATGTAAGATGAATGTTTCCTTGATGATGTACTGTACCAGCTGAATGAACAGAGGTGACGCCGAAACAAATGCTCTATTTCAGCTCCGCTCCCGTGTATGTCTTTCCTACAGAGCTCTTTTTAAAACCAGGCACATGCAATATGTCAAGAGGAAGTTGGCACATTGACAAAACAGAAGTTATAAACACAACTTTAAATGTGTGGTTCTCTCTGTGACATTTCAGAAACTACAAGGCCCTTTTAGACGTGTTCGGGTGGGTCACTGCATTAAGCAATACTTCATAAAGATTGAATTGTGTTTCTATGTGAGGTAGTCTGAAGGAAAGGGTGTATCATGTGGACAAACAACCTCTTTCTGCTGAAGATATTTTTTCTAGGATATTAAAGGGGCCTTATTCTGCTCATTTTCAGGTGTATATCAGTATGTAGCGTCTCTACTTTAAAGAGTCCTCTCCTGCTGATGTTCAGGTGTATATCAGTATGTAGTGTCTCTACTTTAAAGAGTCCTCTCCTGCTGATGTTCAGGTGTATATCAGTATGTAGTGTCTCTACTTTAAAGAGTCCTCTCCTGCTGATGTTCAGGTGTATATCAGTATGTAGTGTCTCTACTTTAAAGAGTCCTCTCCAGCTGATGTTCAGGTGTATATCAGTATGTAGTGTCTCTACTTTAAAGAGTCCTCTCCTGCTGATGTTCAGGTGTATATCAGTATGTAGTGTCTCTACTTTAAAGAGTCCTCTCCTGCTGATGTTCAGGTGTATATCAGTATGTAGTGTCTCTACTTTAAAGAGTCCTCTCCTGCTGATGTTCAGGTGTATATCAGTATGTAGTGTCTCTACTTTAAAGAGTCCTCTCCAGCTGATGTTCAGGTGTATATCAGTATGTAGTGTCTCTACTTTAAAGAGTCCTCTCCTGCTGATGTTCAGGTGTATATCAGTATGTAGTGTCTCTACTTTAAAGAGTCCTCTCCTGCTGATGTTCAGGTGTATATCAGTATGTAGTGTCTCTACTTTAAAGAGTCCTCTCCTGCTGATGTTCAGGTGTATATCAGTTTGTAGTGTCTCTACTTTAAAGAGTCCTCTCCTGCTAATGTTCAGGTGTATATCAGTATGTAGTGTCTCTACTTTAAAGAGTCCTCTCCTGCTGACGTTCAGGTGTATATCAGTTTGTAGTGTCTACTTTAAAGAGTTCTCTCCTGCTGATGTTCAGGTGTATATCAGTGTGTAGTGTCTCTACTTTAAAGAGTCCTCTCCTGCTGATGTTCAGGTGTATATCAGTATGTAGTGTCTCTACTTTAAAGAGTCCTCTCCTGCTGATGTTCAGGTGTATATCAGTATGTAGTGTCTCTACTTTAAAGAGTCCTCTCCTGCTGATGTTCAGGTGTATATCAGTGTGTAGTGTCTCTACTTTAAAGAGTCCTCTCCTGCTGATGTTCAGGTGTATATCAGTATGTAGTGTCTCTACTTTAAAGAGTCCTCTCCTGCTGATGTTCAGGTGTATATCAGTATGTAGTGTCTCTACTTTAAAGAGTCCTCTCCTGCTGATGTTCTGGTGTATATCAGTATGTAGGGTCTCTACTTTAAAGAGTCCGCTCCTGCTGATGTTCAGGTGTATATCAGTATGTAGTGTCTCTACTTTAAAGAGTCCTCTCCTGCTGATGTTCAGGTGTATATCAGTGTGTAGTGTCTCTACTTTAAAGAGTCCTCTCCTGCTGATGTTCAGGTGTATATCAGTATGTAGTGTCTCTACTTTAAAGAGTCCTCTCCTGCTGATGTTCAGGTGTATATCAGTATGTAGTGTCTCTACTTTAAAGAGTCCTCTCCTGCTGATGTTCTGGTGTATATCAGTATGTAGGGTCTCTACTTTAAAGAGTCCGCTCCTGCTGATGTTCAGGTGTATATCAGTATGTTGTGTCTCTACTTTAAAGAGTCCTCTCCTGCTGATGTTCAGGTGTATATCAGTATGTAGTGTCTCTACTTTAAAGAGTCCTCTCCTGCTGATGTTCAGGTGTATATCAGTATGTAGTGTCTCTGCTTTAAAGAGTCCTCTCCTGCTGATGTTCAGGTGTATATCAGTATGTAGTGTCTCTGCTTTAAAGAGTCCTCTCCTGCTGATGTTCAGGTGTATATCAGTATGTAGTGTCTCTACTTTAAAGAGTCCTCTCCTGCTGATGTTCAGGTGTATATCAGTATGTAGTGTCTCTACTTTAAAGAGTCCTCTCCCGCTGATGTTCAGGTGTATATCAGTATGTAGTGTCTCTACTTTAAAGAGTCCTCTCCTGCTGATGTTCAGGTGTATATCAGTATGTAGTGTCTCTACTTTAAAGAGTCCTCTCCTGCTGATGTTCAGGTGTATATCAGTATGTAGTGTCTCTACTTTAAAGAGTCCTCTCCTGCTGATGTTCAGGTGTATATCAGTATGTAGTGTCTCTACTTTAAAGAGTCCTCTCCTGTTGATGTTCAGGTGTATATCAGTATGTAGTGTCTCTACTTTAAAGAGTCCTCTCCTGCTGATGTTCAGGTGTATATCAGTATGTACTCGTGTCTCTACTTTAAAGAGTCCTCTCCTGCTGATGTTCAGGTGTATATCAGTATGTAGTGTCTCTACTTTAAAGAGTCCCCCCCCCCCAAAGCATAAAAGGGCCCCATTAATTAGCATTACCCCCTAAAAACATGTCTCCCATGATTATTTTGTATTATATCTCATATTCTCTCCGTGTGTTTGCAGGTGCTGGAGCTGCAGAAAGATAGCGGCACGACGGAGGAGCAGAGTCTGGATAAAGAGGCGAGGAAATGGGCGAGTCGCGTGGCCCGAGAATACAAGAGCATCATCCACACACAGCGGGTGAGAACCAGATCACACTGAGGAACACATGAAGCTGTAGGCAGGATTCAAGAGGGAGATACTGTCAACATATCATGTTATCCCCCCTGTAAAATTCATCAAATGTGAAACTTTACAGCGTAGAGCCAGTGCAGATAAAAGGCAAATACAAGAGGAAATAAGTACAGGGTATACAAATAATAAGCAGCATTATGAAAGTAGGTAAACATATAAAACATAAAAAGTGGTAAACTAGCAGCCTGTATTAACATTATTAGTTGTGAAAGTAGATATAAGACATGGTAATTCAGCGTTACTTCAGACTTAGGTAGCGAATTAGCAACCAAATTTTAACTCAAAGAAATATGGTGTGTTGAACTGTTGTGCAATAACAATATGTACAATATAAAGCAATGTTTCACAAACTCTCATCCTTCTACATTATTCATTATATGCAGTTAATTAAAGTGGGATACTTAGCCATCACAAATATATGCTATATTACTTTAATACAAATAAAAAATACCCAGGTACAAATAAACAGTTTGGCATCCTTCAGCTCCACTAAACAAAATCTGAACTACCTCTTAAAGTAAACCGGTTACAGTCAGCCTTCCCCGGTTCCTTTATGTACTCTATGTGGATGGATGACAATAAAGTCTCTTATCTTTATTATCTCTTAAATGTCATGTCAAAGTAAAACCTAGTCTACGTAATCTGGGTAATTTCCCTAGTAGATCCTGGAGGACACTCATTTCTAAAGCAGGACTGTCGTTCAGGAAAATCCTGCTTTAGAAATGATTTGCCTATTTGTGACTTGTTTTTAAAACAGTATAAAAAAGCAGTAAAACACACAAATTAACCTGAAAAGTTCTTCTTTGATTTTACAAGGAAGTTGTAAATCCATAAATCAGTTTATCAATCATTTAACACATCGCCATTTGCTGTCGTGTGTTCCTTGTGTGGTTACAAAAACAGCGGAACATAACATTAACTGTGTTACATTAGTTGGTGGAAGGTTATTTCTCATTGTTGGAAGTAGCAATGCACCAAATGCCAATACTATAAATAATGCATCAGGTGCGGAGTAGTGGTGAGGATCAATAGAAACAAAACACAGGCACTCACAGATGTCCTGTCTTTTGTTCTTGTTTATTTTTGCTTGAATTTCTTCACATTTTGGCAAATTAGCATCAGTGAAAATATGTTAAATAAACTTTGTGATGATTCTCAGACAATTTATATATTCTTTCTCTTTGATTTTAAGCAGATTTACAGATGTTAAAACAGGGTTCCCGCGGGTTCTTAAAAACTCTTAATTTTGATAATCAGAATTGAAGGCCTTAGAAAGTCTTAAATATGATCAAAAAAATAAGAAAGTTCTTAAATATGATTTAGAAGGTCTTCAAAATGATGGGATTTGAAAGATACTTCTGTGTTGCGATAGCGTCTAACTATTTTTTGGGGGAAATGTCCGGGCTGCAAAGTAACCAGTACGGTAAGAGCCTTTCAGTTCCCCCCAACAATCTGTATTGAAATAAATCAACATGGAACCAGTAATCACTAACTTTGTTTCCCCCGGCCCCTTATCGGAGAACACCCAGCTAGTAACCTAGCAACCAAGCTTCAGCTAGCGGCAGTCAGAAACTCAGGTATCTTCGAATCTACTTACAAATAAATATGGGGAAGTGTAAGTTCAACCGTATTTGGTTGGAAAACATCGAATTTAGTGCTTGGTTGAAACCAGTGGAGGGAACGTGTTTGAAGCCCGCTGCACCTTTGGCAAACAAAATGTGTGTTTTGTTTTGCTAGTGCAGCGTTAGCTAGTGCAGCGTTAGCTAGTGCAGCGTTAGCTAGTGCAGCAGCTCCCGCAACAACACCGGAGGACCTCCGGGCGACGTTTGAGTCTACGTCAACCCTAAAGCGGAGGTGCTGTGGACGCTAAATACCACAGCTAAACACCAATCATACAACAGCATGAAGACAGCAGAGCTCTATAGCTCTTGTCACTCACACGCACGCGCACACACACACACACGCCCACACACATACACATACACAGAGTCACACGCACATACACACTTTTTGTCTAACACGCTAACACAGTTCTGTGTACTGTTATGCTGTTATGTTCAGTCATCGTTCTCATGTTGAACATGAATACATTTACTTTGTAAGTAATTATGAGACGTATTTCTTCTTTCATAGCAATTTTCCTTCATACTTTCTTGCCGTGAAATAGGTCCTAAATTCGTGGTCTTAAAAAGTCTTACATTTGAGTTGGTGTAACCTGCAGGAGCCCTGTAAAATGTATTGAAGGAAGTTAAAGAGGTCAGTGTTGTGTTAATGACTAACGAATATATGTTCCCACTACTGGAATTTGTCCTTTTACTGTAACCACCTAGGTTAGTTTGATATTAATAAGCCTGGGATCATAAAATCATGACCCATGTGTGAAGGGAAATATGAGGGAGCGATGCAATAATACAGGATAAGACTTCCTTATCGTTACTTAATTGTCACCCATTCATTTTATTGTAAACAGGTGAAGATAAGGAATTGCATGACGTTTATTTTCCAGCAAACAAGAATCAACGCACTTCCATTAATCAGGAAATGAGTCGCTCTCTCTCAGAATCCATATCCGGTTTATTAAGTCGCTTTTTATTACACAGAACTGGCTTTGCTGTTTTGATACAAATCATAAATATAGTAAGAGAAAATGCCATTTAAAAACCATAGTTAAAAATATATATCTAAATGAAAATGGAAGTGCTATTCTGTTTTTTTAAAAGCTGTAGTTTTACACCTAAATTTGTCCAATAAATGTGCCAAAATTCTCATGAAGTTCAAAATAAATATGTAATGCAAATAAATAAAGTCTCAAAGATGGTCGTTAATGAAGTTTCTCTCGAGTAAAATGTCTTCAATACATAGATTTATTTGTTATTATTGGGTTTAAGTCCTGTGTTTTTATAACTTTATGATGACATTAGTATTTGTTGTGATGTGTTTTCAGGCTATGGAGGGATACGGGACGCAGGAGTCTTCAGAGCAGAACAACACTGAGCTGGAGACCAAGATGGAGGTCGCCAGGCAGAGTCTCCGGAGGGCAGAGGTAACTTGTGTGATCTTGTTACTGAATGTGGCCCTAGTGCTCCCTCTAGTGGTTAAACAGATGAAATGACACAGACTAGGGTCAAATACTACTGTGCTACAATCCAATGTTGTATTTTTCCAGGGTGTACCTGAAATGCAAAAATGCATAATTTGTATCATTGCTGTGAAACAAAAAAAAACTCAAGTGTAAGAGAGACAATAAATGTTAACTTTAAGCTAATTAACTCAAAATATAAGCCAAAATTACCGCTATAAGTAACACGCATAGAAATATTGTTTCAGCATGTTGTCATGTTTTATTGATTTATCTTGCAGACGGTGAAAGTGAAGGCCGAGGCTCGTCTGGAGTTGCTTCGGCAGGCGGGTGTTGCCGTGGAAACGTGGCTGAAGAGCGCCATGAACCAAGTGATGGAGGAGCTGGAGAACGAGCGCTGGAACAACCTCAATACCCATGATCCTTCACTCTCTGTAAGACCCACAACTGCACAACTCTTACACATTATTTTTCATATTTGTAACCTCTTTTAGTTGTCATCAAACTTCAGAGGTGGGAAGTAGTGGAGTACAAATACTTAGTTACTGCACTCAAGTACATTTTTCTGGTATCAGTACTTTACTCCACTACTTATTTTTCTTATGACTTTTTACACAAATACCTGTACTTTCTACTTCTTACATGTTGAACTCAAATACCTGTACTTTCTACTTCTTACATGTTGAACTCAAATACCTGTACTTTCTACTTCTTACATGTTGAACTCAAATACCTGTACTTTCTACTTCTTACATGTTGAACACAAATACCTGTACTTTCTACTTCTTACATGTTGAACCCAAATACCTGTACTTTCTACTTCTCACATGTTGAACACAAATACCTGTACTTTCTACTTCTGACATGTTGAACACAAATACCTGTACTTTCTACTTCTGACATGTTGAACACAAATACCTGTACTTTCTACTTCTTACATGTTGAACACAAATACCTGTACTTTCTACTTCTGACATGTTGAACACAAATACCTGTACTTTCTACTTCTTACATGTTGAACCCAAATACCTGTACTTTCTACTTCTTACATGTTGAACACAAATACCTGTACTTTCTACTTCTCACATGTTGAACACAAATACCTGTACTTTCTACTTCTCACATGTTGAACACAAATACCTGTACTTTCTACTTCTTACATGTTGAACACAAATACCTGTACTTTCTACTTCTTACATGTTGAACTCAAATACCTGTACTTTCTACTTCTCACATGTTGAACACAAATACCTGTACTTTCTACTTCTTACATATTGAACTCAAATACCTGTACTTTCTACTTCTTACATGTTGAACACAAATACCTGTACTTTCTACTTCTGACATGTTGAACACAAATACCTGTACTTTCTACTTCTTACATGTTGAACCCAAATACCTGTACTTTCTACTTCTTACATGTTGAACACAAATACCTGTACTTTCTACTTCTCACATGTTGAACACAAATACCTGTACTTTCTACTTCTTACATGTTGAACCCAAATACCTGTACTTTCTACTTCTCACATGTTGAACACAAATACCTGTACTTTCTACTTCTTACATGTTGAACCCAAATACCTGTACTTTCTACTTCTTACATGTTGAACACAAATACCTGTACTTTCTACTTCTCACATGTTGAACACAAATACCTGTACTTTCTACTTCTTACATGTTGAACCCAAATACCTGTACTTTCTACTTCTTACATGTTGAACACAAATACCTGTACTTTCTACTTCTCACATGTTGAACACAAATACCTGTACTTTCTACTTCTTACATGTTGAACCCAAATACCTGTACTTTCTACTTCTTACATGTTGAACACAAATACCTGTACTTTCTACTTCTCACATGTTGAACTCAAATACCTGTACTTTCTACTTCTTACATGTTGAACTCAAATACCTGTACTTTCTACTTCTGAACTGTTGACACAATACCTGTACTTTCTACTTCTTACATTTTGAACTCAAATACCTGTACTTTCTACTTTCTCACATGTTGAACACAAATACCTGTTACTTTCTACTTCTTACATGTTGAACTCAAATACCTGTACTTTTCTACTTCTTACATGTTGAACACAAATACCTGTACTTTCTACTTCTTACTGTTGAACTCAAATACCTGTACTTTCTACTTCTCACATGTTGAACTCAAAATACCTGTACTTTCTACTTCTTACATGTTGAAACTCAAATACCTGTACTTTTCTACTTCTTACATGTTGAACTCAAATACCTGTACTTTCTACTTCTCACATGTTGAACTCAAATACCTGTACTTTCTACTTCTCACATGTTGAACTCAAATACCTGTACTTTCTACTTCTTACATGTTGAACTCAAATACCTGTACTTTCTACTTCTCACATGTTGAACTCAAATACCTGTACTTTCTACTTCTCACATGTTGAACTCAAATACCTGTACTTTCTACTTCTCTCATTTTCCAACAGCTGGTTCCTTTAGTTTGAATGTGTGTTTGGTGCGTGATCATTATTCTTTAGAGTCATTGCGTGCCTATTGATTTGAACACGATCCGTGTATCCATCATTTCCTGGTCTTCTCTAAAGAAGAGGGACCAATGGAAACGTTGTCATGTTGCCGTTGTTCAGCACGGAAACATTCATTAGCTAACAATGACATTATTGTTCTATTACTATAAAGGGAGGTCAGGTACTCTTTAAAACAGCTGCTAGTTATGGGTACTTTTTACTGAAGTACACTTCAAAGCCTCTTTACTTTCACTTGAGTAAAGAAGTTTAGTCAGTACTTATTTTTAAACATGAGTATCTGTACTTCTACTTGAGTAAAGGATGTGTGTACTTTTGACATATCTGCCAAACTCTGTTGTAACCATAAGAGTGCAGATAATCAATTGTGATCAGTTACATATAATATCTTTAATTTTCCTGCAGGGAACGGCGGATTTGGAGCGAGAGGACGAGGAGGAGATGGAGGACAGCGGGGAAGTTTTAGACGACAGCAGCTCGAGTCCCTCCAGCACCTTGAAGAACTATCCGCTCACCTGCAAAGTCCTCTACTCCTACAAGGTACAGTAGAAAACACAATAGTGGGAAAAATGGATTGAATACAAAAGAAAAATGAGCGACAACACAAATTGAGAGTTGGAACCAGACCATGATGTTGCCTAAGGTAGAAAGCTTCCATGTCACTGTTGTTGATTTTTTAACATTTATCACATTACAACCGAACATTCCCAACATTAGACATATGGCAGATTACAAAATAATGCTAACAAATCTATAAAATAAAAAGTATCCAGTTGCTAGAAATCATTTAGCTTTCAGTTTAGTTTTAACAAATGCTGTTTCCTTGTTTGCAGTCGTCGCAGCCAGATGAGCTGACCATCGAGGAGCAGGAGATCTTGGAGGTCATTGATGACGGAGACATGGAGGACTGGGTCAAGGTGCGCTAAATATACATTCACTAATTCAAGTTAAGCATGTTTGATATCAACCTAAAAGGGCTATTCATTTAGAATTTTAAGTACAATGTCTCAGAAGTATGTAGCTACTAATACACAAAAGTACTCGGTTGGATATCCCTGCTGCAGAATATTTTAACCCCAGCTCATTGTGTTTATTTGATGACGTTTGCTGTGGACTTTCCCACTGAAAGTCAAAGTCAACTTAATTATCAATCTTTCAGTTTGTGTGTAGAGAGATCGAAATACCGTTTCCCACAATCCCGAATACAAATATATATAAAAATATGTATATCCTATATATACACAATCAACAGACACATGTATACCTGTATCGGCCTGGCCGATTATCGGGGCCGATATTCCGCATTTGACCGATTATCGGTATCGGCCTTTTTTTTAAATCAAATTGCCGATAAAACTTTGGCTCTGATGAGGCCGTTTCTCTGGCTGCAGTCACCACTCTGTGTACACGAGCAATGTCCCGCCCACAGCGCTATCTGATAGGCTATCACTGAAGATTTTCTGGGCGGGAGCCAGCCAGAGAGGCGGGACCCTCTCAGATTACAGGCAGGTGCGAAAGAACGCAGACACAGACTGAAGCAAGCAGCAGCGCTGAGCGGCAGAGCCATACATGTGTTAAACCGAAGTTCAATAAACATCCCTATCCCCTATGCTGAGGTTGCAAAAACACGATCTTATGATCCAATTCTATCAGTTTCCCAGTTACACAGGGACGCGGGAAGTCAGTCAGAGTTGGGGGTGCGTGCAGCGTCTCGCAGCGGAGGGCAGTTTTTCAGGTTGATATGTGCAGCTCATTAGCTAGCCAACATGTATCTAGCAAATGTTTAGCAAAATATTAGAAGTGAGGCTACTAGACTAACGTTAGGTCTACTGTGATAGCCTCACTTTTAATAGTTTGCAAAACATTAGCTAGCACTAGTGTTTTACAGTTGCTAGCAGCTTATTGGGATTGTATGCTAGATAGACAGGCATTGTTTTGATATAATGAATTAAGCATTATTGTTAGTTAAGCATGTCAGCCTGCAGCCCCACTTCTTGTCTCTCTCTCTAACTCATTATAGATGGCTGCACTAAAGAAAAGGGAACAGAGAGGAAACCAGTTGTAAGATGTTTAAAAGTTAATTAAACAAAATATATGCTTAAATGCATTTCAAAGAAGTTGTGTTGGAGTTTGTGTTATTCTACATTTTGACACCAAGATTTTCAGATTTTACTGCAAATGTATATCGGTTCCAAATATCGGTTATCGGTCTCCTTGATTACCAATAATCGGTATCGGTATCGGCCTTGAAAAAGCCATATCGGTCGATCCCTAATATATACAAAATAACACTTCAATATCTTTGAGGTACATTAGTGCAAGATTGTCCATAGCAGTGTAAAAAGTGTCTGGTGCTGGATGTGAGTGTCTGTGTGGGGTGTTAAAGTCCAGTGGGGGGAGGGGGGAGAGTTCAGCTCCCTGACAGCCTGGTGGGAAAATATGTTCTTTAGTCGGGTGGTGCTCGACCTCGGCTTGAAAGTGTATATTTTCTGCATTTTCTCCAGGCCAGAAACCGCAGTGGGCTGGTGGGCTACGTCCCGGAGAAATACCTGCAGCTGCCCTTCCTCCAACAGTCTGCTCAGCATGCTGCAGGCTCTCGCTGCTCTGGACGCTCGCTCTCACTCCTCCAGTAACTCCACCGAGCCGGAAACTGAACTCCCAACAGGATCCGTCAACGAAGACTCCAGCGGTGAGGGAACAATTATGTTTTCATATTCCATTTAGTCCTATTTTCTGTTCGAAAAATATCACTTGTCATCGGCTTGAGCTTCAATCTCAGGATCCATGTATCTGTGATCCTCTCCAGAATGGAAGCAGTCATCACATACAGAGCATCAACTAGTTCCTGAACAGTGTCCTTCACATGCTGATATCCAAGAGAGGGAGTTACACAGTCACAAGATGGAGGAATAGAAAGCAGTATTCAATGTTTACTTCAGATTAGCTCCACGTCAGAAATGAGCATGCTTGTCATATGTCTCTCTCCATAGAGGCTGAATCATCATGTTAATCACATAGCTATCATATGCCTAAAACAGTCCTGATGCTCTTCTAGGTAATCACACATCCTGTCATGTACTCAGCTACAGTTGGGATACCTTTGTTATCATGTTACTCTCATATTGGAAGAGGACCTTCAGTGTTTTCCCAACAGTTTCTCAACCTGTCTTCCTCTTGCTGCAGTGTCGTTTGCCAAGGCGCTGTACGACTACGCGGGACAAACAGAGGACGAGTTGTCATTTCCGGAAGGCGCCATCATCCGGATCCTGAGCAGAGAAACCCACGAGGACGACGGTTTCTGGGAGGGGGAGTTTAACGGGGTTGTTGGTGTTTTCCCCGCCGTCCTGGTGGAGGATCTGACTTGCGGTAGCGAGAATGGAGACGGACAAAAAGATGGCGGCAGTGCACAGGTGTGTTGGAAGTAGTCTCTTAGTCGAGACCACCTTATCCGAGACCAAGACATTACCAAGACCGGAGAGTACCAAGACAAGACCAAGACATTACCAAGACAAGACCAAGACATTACCAAGACAAGACCAAGACATTATCAAGACCGGAGAGTACTAAGACCAAGACATTACCAAGACCGGAGAGTACTAAGACCAAGACATTACCAAGACCGGAGAGTACCAAGACATTACCAAGACCGGAGAGTACTAAGACCAAGACATTACCAAGACCGGAGAGTACCAAGACCAAGACATTACCAAGACCGGAGAGTACTAAGACCAAGACATTACCAAGACCGGAGAGTACTAAGACCAAGACATTACCAAGACCGGAGAGTACCAAGACCAAGACATTACCAAGACCGGAGAGTACCAAGACCAAGACCGGAGAGTACTAAGACCAAGACATTATCAAAACCGGAGAGTACCAAGACCAAGACATTACCAAGACTGAAGAGTACCAAGACCAAGACCGGAGAGTACCAAGACCGGAGAGTACCAAGACCAAGACCGGAGAGTACCAAGACATTACCAAGACCGGAGAGTACCAAGACCACGACATTACCAAGACCGGAGAGTACTAAGACCAAGACATTACCAAGACCGGAGAGTACTAAGACCAAGACATTACCAAGACCGGAGAGTACCAAGACCAAGACATTACCAAGACCGGAGAGTACCAAGACCAAGACCGGAGAGTACCAAGACATTACCAAGACCGGAGAGTACCAAGACCAAGACATTACCAAGACCGGAGAGTACTAAGACCAAGACATTACCAAGACCAGAGAGTACCAAGACATGACCAAGACTTTTAAGAGGGCGAGACCGAATCAAGACTGGAACCAGACTAATGTGAAGCCAACACTACATGATACACTTACAATACCATGTGTAAGATTAGAGTCAATTTGATCTGAAAGACACACACATAAGATATAAATTCAACTTCATCATATTTATTGAAAAAGTTATCCTTTTCATATAAAAACAGTAACATAATATAAAACATCATAATATAAATGTTTCGATATATAGGTCTAAGCAACAAACAAAAAACCGACCAATCAGGAACCACCTTTGTAGACAAACACACACAGGATGAAGGAAAACGATAGTTACGGCTGTAACTACGGTTCTATGAGTCCCGGATGACCGCCAGAGGCGGTGCTTTAAGCACTGGATATGTCCATCGCGCGCATGCGCAGCTCGAGTACCAATAACAACAAAGTCACCTGTGACCCACGTGACACCGGCTATATCAGCCGGTGTCGTCAGAGGATCTGTTCCCAGAATCTTCTCGCGAGCACACAAGAATTCTGAGTGACAGGGAACTCTGGCGGTCATCCGGGACTCATAGAACCGTAGTTACAGCCGTAACTATCATTCTATTTCGTCCCTACTGACCGCCAGAGGCGGTGCTTTAAGCACTGGATGACTTATACCAACAATGTCATGAAGAATCCAAGCCCTTGCTCACCACTGGAAACAGCGGAGCTCGGCAAAAGGACCACGCCCAAAGAATGGGGAGTTGACCTGATGACAACTGGAGAATGTGCCAGAAGACGCCCACGACGCCGCGGCGCAGATGGTCTCCAGGGGCACCACCCTCAGGGCAGCCCAAGATGTTGAGATGCTCCTTTTAGAGTGGCATCTCAGCCCGATGGCAGGGGCCGGCCACTGGCCCCGTAAGCCCGTGAGATGGTATCGACAACCCAGTGGGGCAGCCACTGGTTAGAGGGCATAACCTCCTTTAGTGCCGCCAGGGCAAAATCAAGAGTTGCTCCTACTGCCGTATACAGGCAGTAGCCTTGATATACGCCCTTTGGGCACCCCCAGGGCACAGCAACTTCGACGTGCCGTACTCCTGAATGTCAATGCGTGCCAGCTGGGCAGGCTGATTGAAGTGGGTTTGTGGAAGGACCCCGGGCAGGAATGCCACATTTGCCCAAAGGGCAACGCCTGAGAGTCCCACCTCGGGCATGTATTGTTTATGGAGAGGACATGCAACTCCCCGACTCGCTTCCCTGAGGCTATGGCAAGCAGAAATGCTGCCTTCGTAGGCAGCCACCTAAGCCCCACCTGGGCCAGGGACTTGAAGGGAGGAGATGATAGGGCATCCGGCAGCAGGGGCAGGTCCCAAGCCGGAGCCCTTGGGGTGCTAGGGTGACGCTGCCGTAAAGCCCCTCTCATAAAGAGGGACACCGACCTGTGGCGCCGTCGACCCGAACATGTCGGGCAGAAATCGCAGCCACATAAATTCAGAGTGGAGTGAGAACGTCCACTATCTAGAAGGGACTGTTGTCTAAGCAACAACATACATGCTGTCCCCAAGGAACACGCACATTCTTGCCCCCCAGTTGGGGTAGAAAGTGCGTGAGTGCAAGCTGCACAGCCCGAAGCTCTAGCACGTTGACCTGGCGCGCACTCTCCTGGGCAGACCGCTGACCCTGAACGGTCCTGCCCTGCCGCACTGCACCCCACCCTGAGAGACATGCACATATGGTGATGGTCTCCTGGCGGGATGGGATGGCGCCCATGGGCACGCCCACTAGGAGATAGGCCCTGCCCCTCCAGAGTGACAGAGAGTGGAGGCAATGCTGCAACACCCTGACTTCCCTGTGCCTGTGCCACTTGGCGTCCAAGTGAAGGCTGTTCAGCCACATCTGCATGGGGCGCAACGACAGCGGGCCTAAGGGCCCAGCGGCCGAGGCAGCTGCCAGTCTGCCCAAGGGCCGGAGGAACTGAATATAAGGCACCATCTTGCCCGGCCCACGTGGAAGTAGGCATCCCTCAAGTCCACGGTTGAGAACCACTCCACCTGTGCATATGCAGTGGTCAGCATATGGAATGGCAGCACCTTCGGGAATCTGTTGATTCCTCTGAGGTCCAAGATCGGGCGAAATCCGCCGACTTTCTTGCTCACGAGAAAGTACGCCGAGTAGAACCCCCTGGGCTACGCAGAGGGTCTTACTGGCTTGATTGCGTCCTTGGACAGAAGGACGGACAACTCTTGGGACAGAGCTAGGGCCCCTGCCGGATCGCTGACGACTGTCAATTAGACCCAGCCGAAGGCTAGGGGCCGGAGCTGCGGTCCGTACCCCTGGGTTAAGGTGAAAACCACCCAAGGGACGGAAGTACAGACCGCCCAGTAACTGAGCTGCTGCTGGGAAAGCAGCCGACGACCGCCCCTGTGTTTTCAGGGCCCAGCCCCCCGGCCCCTGGAGCCTCTTGGGGGGCGCCGGTAAGGCTCTGGGGCACGAGGCCGCCTGGAAGGCAGGCGACCTGGGGCACGAAGGTCATTGGGTCGCGCCGCTAAGACCTCTGCAGACCACCCGCTGTAATCCGGCGGCTGAGTGCGGCTGCTAGAGCGGCCCCTGGGCCTGCTGGGTGTGGGCACAGGTCTGCGAAGACCCGAGAGCTGCTGCCTGGTCTGCCTAGCTTGCGCGGCACGCTCCAGTGCCTCCAGGGCAGCTGACCTAAACAGCTCCCCTGGCTCGACTGGTACGCTACGGAGGACTCTCCTACATGCCTCCGTTAGTGGTGACTGGGCCAGCGAAACCTGGCCACGAGTCTACCAGCGACAAGGCGTCCTCATACAGAGGTGAGTCAACCGAAGGAGGTGCGTCAGCCGAAGGAGGTGCGTCAGCCGAAGGAGGTGCGCCAACCGAAGGAGGTGTCCTTCTATTGGGGGGAGCACACATAGCCATCGCTCCCTCAAGTCGCCGGGAACGGCCGAATTGATCTGGAGGAGAATGTGACAAGGAGAGGCGTCTGTTGGCTGCTGCCAGACGTTCCACCTCAGTGATTCTAGCCACTCTGAGCGCCCTGAGGCATGCAGCTACAGCTCATGCAGGCGTTTACCGTGAGAACCTCCCCCAGATGCTCACATTTCGTCCCCACTGACCGCCAGAGGCGGCCGAGGCAGGAGGGGCAGCGGTCGTGGCCCTCCTCGGGCTCAAAAGAAGCCATACAGGCGCTACATGAATGAGCGATTGTGTAGGTAGCCAGATGCAGCGTAGCCGGGAGCGGGTGCGGGAACACAGCCTTCACCAGCTACCTGCTTAATGGAAAGAGTAGAGCGTTGCTGCTACTCGCCGAACAGAAAGAGGGATGTAATTACACCCACGTTACCGGCAGAGGGAGCGGGAGCAAGAGCACTGCCTTCACCTGGCTGGATTAATAAACACGGCAGTTCAGCGTCTACCAGGAGCGGGGGCGAGAACACTGCCGGCTGAGTTAGAGACGAATGCCAGATGCAGCATAACCGGGAGCGGGTGCGGAAACACAGCCTTCACCAGCTACCTGCTTAACGGAAAAACAGGGCAGTTCCGCGTCTACCAGGAGCAGGGGCGAGAACACTACCTTCACTGGTTGAGTTAGAGACGAATGCCAGATGCAGCGTAACCGGGAGCGGGTGCGGGAACACAGCCTTCACCAGCTACCTGCTTAACAGAAAAACAAGGCAGTTCAGCATCTACCAGGAGCGGGGGCGAGAACTGCCTTCACTGGTTGAGTTAGAGACGAATGCCAGATGCAGCGTAACCGGGAGCGGGTGCGGGAACACAGCCTTCACCGACTACCTGCTTAACGGAAAAAACGAGGCAGTTTAGCGTCTACCAGGAGCGGGGGCGAGAACTGCCTTCACTGGTTGAGTTAGAGACAAATGCCAGATGCAGCGTAACCGGGAGCGGTTGCGGGAACACAGCCTTCACCGGCTACCTGCTTAACGGAAAAGCTAGGCAGTTCAGCGTCTACCAGGAGCGGGGGCGAGAACACTGCCTTCACTGGTTGAGTTAGAGACGACTGCCAGATGCAGCGTAACCGGGAGCGGGTGCGGGAACACAGCCTTCACCAGCTAACTGCTGAACGGGAAGAGTAGAGCGGTGCTACTACTCACCGAACAGAAAAAGGGATGTAGCTACATCCGCATTACCGGTAGAGGGAGCGGGAGCGAGAGCACTGCCTTCACCTAGCTGGGTAAAATAAAGAAGCTTAACAGTACACGCAAGACGTTAGCCGAGCAGCTGCTGCTAACGATCAAGCGAGATCAAGTCAAATAACACACATGTTTAAGACCAGATAACTAGCTTCTAAAGAAGAGAACAGCACAGAGCCGTAGTTACAGCAGTAACCATGGCCAGTGCTCACACGGCATATAACCGTAGTTACAGTAGTACATATGGCCAGTACTTACACGGCTTAGAACCATAGTTACAGTCGTAACTATGGCCAGAACTTACACAGCATAGAGCCGTAGTTACAGTAGTAACTCTGGCCAGTACTTGCACGGCTTGGAACCGTAGTTACAGTAGTAACTATGGCCAGTACTTACATGGCTTTGAAAACCGTAGTTACAGTAGTAACTATGGACCAGGTACTTACACATCATAGAGCCGTAGTTACGGTATTGACTATGGCCAGTACTTGCATGGCTTGGAACCGTAGTTACAGTAGTAACTATGGCCAGTACTTACACAGCATAGAGCCGTAGTTACGGTATTGACTATGGCCAGTACTTACACGGCTTGGAACCGTAGTTACAGTAGTAATTATGGCCAGTACTTAAGGCTTAGAACCTTAGTTACAGTAGTAACTGTGGTCGGTGCCTAAAAGTGTCAGCCAAACGGCTGCCCACTAGATAATATAATTATTGGGAGGATGAAATCCTCCTTAATGGCCACACATGCAGAGCACACAGCACACACAGTGAAGATTGTTCTCTGCATATCGTCCTAGTGCTAGGAGTCTAGTACTAGGAGCAGTAGATACAACGATATAGCGCTACTGCAACCATACCATGCGTTTACCGGGAGTGGGAGCGAGAGCACTGCCCTCACCGGCTGAGTTAAATAATGAAGCTTAACAGTACATGCAAGGTGTTAGCCAAGCGACTGCTGCTAACAATCAAGCAACCAAGTCAGAACACAATGTTAAGACCAGATAATTAGCTTCTAAGAAAGAGAACAGCCCGCATAGAACCGTAGGCCATGGTTACAGTAGTAACCGCACATGCGGAGCACACAGCACCCGCAGTGAAGATGTTCTCTGCATATCATCCTAGTGCTAGGAGTCTAGTACTAGGAGCAGTAATACAATGATCTAGCGCTACTGCAATCAAACCCTATGTTACCGGGAGCGGGAGCACTGCCCTCACCGGCTGAGTTAATTGTTAAGCTTAACAGCAAGGTGTTAGCCAAGCGGCTGCTGCTAACAATCAAGCGACCAAGTCAGAACACAAATGTTAAGACCAGATAATAGCTTCTAAGAAATAGAAAGTACTTAGGCTACCTTACTCTCTGCATCTAAACGAAAAACGGGTTTAAAATATGACACTCTGGGCTTTCCATACTAAATTGAATGAGGGACGCAGCCAAAGCTGGGACTCAAATGCTAATGATAGCTCGGGCACAACGCCACAAGCAGAACTTTCAAAAGAGCATAAGGGCAACTTTATGGGAGAGGAAGCGGGAACACTGTCGTCACCAGAAAGTCTAAGCCAAACAAAAAATAAGACAGCAATCAGGACAACTTGGCTGGGAGAGGGTGCGGGGACACAGCCATCCCCAGCAACAAGCTGACACCAACCTGTCTGTTGAGGCTCTGCACAGCGCACAGCCGGCCACAGCTCCTGGAGGACGCGTTAACGACCCGTAGCTTCGACTGTCAGTCACGAAGCTGCACGCGGCCAGCTGCTTGCAGAGCAATCCCTCAGATCAAACGTTCAAACCTGAACGCTGTAGGCTACAAAAATGTAGCCACGGTACCCTCGCGCAGCGAGAAGATGAAAGGAACAGATCCTCTGACGACACCGGCTGTTATAGCCGGTCACGTGGGTCACAGGTGCGCGCGATGGACATATCCAGTGCTTAAAGCACCGCCTCTGGTGGTCAGTAGGGACGAAATAGAACCCTTTAACACAAACACACACACACACACACACACACATTCTCTCTCACACTCAGGAGTTTGCGCTCAGTGAAAGCCCCGTAAGCCACACACACACACACACATTCTCTCTCTCACTCAGGAGTTTGCGCTCAGTGAAAGCCCCGTAAGCCAGCCATACACACACACACACAAATTTCACGACATCTTCACTGCAAGACCGTTTGAGTGTGTGTGAACGGGGTGGCGAGAGGTGAGGGGGTAGCAGCCGGAATAGACCAGTGCCATGTTTACAAACATTGTGGCGCATGAGGGCAAAGATTCGGGATCACGTGAAGTCCATTTTTTAAACAGGGCGTTTTTCATCCAATCACATCCCCAGCAACAGCCGTGGTCTCGACCATGGATGTATAATAAGACCGGTCTCGAGTACTACAACACTAGTTGGAAGATATGCTTTATTTCTTTAAAAAGTCTGGCTTTATTTGCAGAATTCTTCCGTTCTCCTTTCTGATACTTATTGTAAGTCTCATTTCTCCCCTGCTGTTTTCTAGGCGTCCCCCTCCCCGTTGGCTCAGATCGGAGGATCCCCTCGCAGCCCCTTCCAGCCTCTGCACAGCAGCCCCCTGCAGACCCCCACCCTGCAGACCCCCACCCTTTCCTCCCCACTCTCCAGCCCCAGCAGCGCCTCCGCCTCCCCTACAGGACGACCCCCCTCCTACCACAATGGACACCACAGGCCCCCCCCAGCCCCCCACAAAAGCCCCTTTCAGAGTAAGATTTACTGTATTAGAGGTCACCTATTGGGAAAAATCCACTTTTCATAAAATATTCTCTCTCTTTTTGATCCATTTCTATAAAAACCTGCCTGAAAATGAGCTGATCAGATTTTGGCCACTTTATGATGTCATAAGGATGTTTTGGCTTGTGTAACCATTAGCCAATCAGCAACCAAGGTAACCCCCCCCCCCCCTTATCACCTGAATCTCCTCCTAGAGCTCCATTGAGTTCTTTGTAACCAAATCTCTCTCAGAGGGGCGTGGGGAGGGGCTCCTTATTTTCATCTAAAGTAACAGACAGAGAATCAGCACTTTGGAAACGGCTGAAACAGAGGGGATTATGGGTAATGCTGCAATGATCTATTTGGGGTTTCAGCCAATCAGAGACAGGCTCTGTATATATCTGAGACCTGTAGTATATTGATGAGAAACAGTATGATAGGGGACCTTTAAGTGACGCTGATCTGTGCTCTCTGCTCTCTTCAGGTCCGGTCCAAGGCTCCCCTCAACCCCCCAAATACCCAGAGAGCAGCTCCGGCACCATTCGACCTGTGAGTGCACACACTCTATAAATAATTTACATACTTAGATTTAATATGAAACCATTCAATATTTGTCGGTGTGGAAATAATAATTGTAATTAACAATTTATTGATTTGAGCCAGCGTAAAAACAGAAGTGTGTATTGTTCTTGCATCTACAATTATTTGTATTATAACAATAACAATGTATTTCTATAGCACTTTTAAAGCTACTGATACAAAGTGCTCCCAAATCAAAGCCAAGCATACGCTAAGGCAGGAGAAGTGGTTAAAACGATGGATGCAAAAAGTGCAAAACACTTTTACTTGACTAGATTTCAAGAATTTAGGAATTATGCTCAATCTATGATGCAACAACTAGGGCTGCCCTCGACTAAAGACTTTTCTAGTCGACCAATAGTCGTCAATGAAGGTGATTAGTCGACTAATCGTTGCACGTTTATGATACATTATGAGTATAAATACATCTATTTTTGTATTCTTTATTTTGTCCCCAAAATGCTTTCAGTTTCAAAGGCTGATAAAGAGCGTTATTATAACAGCGTGGTACGTTGTGCTTCAAGCGTGTGTGTCTCTGTCTATGGGTCTCCATCTATGTGTGTGCGTGAGAGAGTGTGTGTGTGTCTATGTGTGTGTCTATGTGTGTGTGTGTGTGTGTGTGTGTGTGTGTGTGTGTGTGTGAGAACAAGCAGCGAAGACACACGCGGAACATTTAGTTCCAGTTTTTATTCTTCATATCTGAATATAACAACCCAATAAATACTACAGAGGAAACGGAAACACTGAAAATATAACTAACTAATCGACTAATGAAAAATTGCTCGATTAACACTTCATTAGTCGACTAGTGATGCATCGACTATTTGGGGGCAGCCCTCGCAACAACAATACGAGATATATTAATAACTGGATGTTTGTTCAGGTCCGTGCCGCCCCCCCGCCCCCGAAGCAGCACCCTCGCGGCCAGGTGAAGCGCAGAGAGGAGGTGGAAATCACTCTGGTGTGAAGGCGTCGACACCCTGGAGGTGACGGCTGTTTTTGAACCAGAGAGGACTTCTTCACGGCTCTGAACGCACTCCCAAAGGAACCCAGAGGAAACTAAAAAAACACCTGAAGGATTTTTATCTTTCATCACCTCATCAGGGTCAGTGTGCTGCGGAGGATCATTGTGCCTTTCTCTGAACTATACTCCCGTCCTTCAAAAAGAGCAGATATGATCCATTTTATTCATCCTCTCTGATCCATAATGTCCAGCTCTTCACTCCGGACGGGAATCACTTCACAGTCCTGACTAAATGTATTGATAACAGACAGAATACCTGCTGTTAAGTGTCCTGAAATATCAGTCCTGGTATCAGTTTTCAAATTCTTTGCTCATAGTAAATGATATAGTGATGACTGGCGGATAATACAATGTATTTTACCCAAACGGTAAAACCTGTTGAATGCAAGAATCACTAGAAACGGTGATTCTGCTCCACACAGGGAGGATTTACGCATCATTTATTGTCATTATGCTTTCTGGTTGCACAATGAAATGCAGTTTTAGCCCAGTTTTTTTTAGACAGAAGTGTAAAAAGCAGCAACAAAACAACAATAGTGAATTCTCTGGGCAGATTATATGCCCACCATCTCCAACATTAAACATTAAAAACCAGCGAAACACTGTTTGCACAACTTTAGTGCATCAATAATGTAAACCAAGTCGAGGCGTCGAGCAGAGAGCATATAGAACGGCTTCTACTGTAAAAATGAGATTGATATTAACTTTAAATCAAACCTTTTGTGAGAAAATGTATAATATGTTCCCAAAAGAGCTTCAGATCCTTCAGTTATATGATTGGACAGAGTGATTTATACCCCATAAAGTAATGAGAAACACAATCATTATTACGAGAAAACCTGTAAATGGAGGGCTACAAAGTCATAAACCTTCATTATTGGTGTATTTTTAATGAGGATATAAAAAGGGCAGGGCAATATTATGTTAATATTGTGATATGAGACTCAATATCCATGCATTTTTTATATATCAAATACTTTCCTGGTTTTAAAAGCTGCATTACTTCAAAGAAATGTCACCTTAAAGGTCCCATGTCATGGCCATTTCTACTGATCATAATTCCATTGTTGAGGTCGACTAGAATAGATTTACATTGTTCAATGTTCCAAACTCACATTGGTTTCTCACAGCATCTCTGTATAGAATGTGTATTCACTCTCTGTCCTACACGGCTTGTTGGAGCTCCTGCCCCCCCCCACCCCCCCCTCCCTATGAGCCCAGTGGCCGACAGCGAGACACAGCAAAACCCAGCCCGAACACACACAGACTCACAGCCTTGCCGCGTCTCGCCGTCTCAGGGAGGAGAAATCGTCGGAGCTGCAGCTGAGAAAAGATTGAGTGTGTGTGAGGAAGTCTTAACGTAACGGCTCCACGGATTGGTCCATTTGGGTTTTCACACGTCACTGTACTCAGGAAGCAAACAATGGAAAAAGAGAAATGTCCCAACGAGGCGTTCTGGGGCAGCACAGACAGGTATTTTCTGTGTTAGAGTTTTACTCGCTACAGGGTGTACTTTGAGGGTTTGTGACTCTGCAGACCGTTTACATGCAGAAAAACCTTCATAACAACAAGGGGACGGGTGATAACCGGAAAAGCATGACATGGGACCTTTAAATGTTTATTATTTGCCCCATTTAGTCATTTAAATCCACATTACAAATGATTATTCAGTTGGAAATCTAAGATATCTCTATCAAGGCATTATTAAAATATATATATTGTTCCTACTGTGAAAGCAGCGATCTTCCGTTTATATAAATATCAGGAAATATCTTTTTAAAAAGTGTATATTAAGGATTTCAACCATATCGCCCAGTTGTCTCTCACTATATCACTTCCTGTGTGGCTCTGACTCTTTTATTTCCTCAAGCTGTTTTTATAATTGGATTTCTTCTATGCAACACCTTCATCAGGACATGTTCTGAACATGAAGTTCCAACAGGAAACCAAAAGTCTCCAAACACACACACACACACACACTCGATCAAAACGGGACGAGGCTGGTCCTCTCCTGAAAAAAAAACACAACAAAGGGAAAAGTGGCAATTTTAGTTTAGATCGTTTATGTCGGTAGGGAGAATCTCCTAGAAATCAAAATCCTTTTACCTTTTTAATTCTCAAACATACGTTAGTTTCCTTTGCACCCGATGCGAGGAAAGTCCTAAAGGGAGAAGCGTAGAGCGCGCTTGTGTAGTCTAACGTTTCCTTTGTTGTAAAATAAAGATCTAGAAATGTTATTCCAGCCGGTAGAAGTTGCCGGTTGCTCGTCGAGTTGGTGACAGTTTACACTGAGGTGCCGTTTATTAAACATGCCTTTATTTTTAAGGAGGGAAACATCCTGAGCTGCTAGCTGTCCGATTTAAAAAAAAAAAAAAAAAAAAAATCTATACTGTCATAGTGAAGCACTTTTTGATGTCTTCTTATTCCTTCTCAGTATTGTGGATGTGTGTTGAATATTTTGTGTACCTGCTATATTGGTATCAATACTTTCCTTTCTTTTATCTTGCGTTATTTAGCCTTAAATAGCCGTTGTAGTGTCTTTGATTGTGATGTGTTTTTGAAATAGTTTACAGAGAGCTTGGAGATGGATATCCGTACAAATACTAGCACCGCTTATTTTTGTTTCCTGTAGAATTAGGATTAAAAATGAAAACTATTCAAACCTTTTGTTTAAGTGGAATTGGATCATAGGAAAAAGAGATATCTGTCAGCCGTGTTCTCGTTGATCTCCTTGAGATCTGAATGACATCAAACTTATTTTTGAAGTTTGCGTTCACCCTGTTGTATTGATGAAAACATAAACAGTGGTCGGACTGAAGTTAAAGTCTGGATCAGAAATTCAGCGACAAACTGCCCACACTCACAAAGGGAGCTCTGCAGAGGCTGCTGAGCGACGTATTTACACCCGTGGATGTTTAACTGTATTTATTGTGTACAAATAAATGTGAAATAAAGATAGCTTAATGAAACGGAACAAACATGTCTCTAGTTTTTCTTTCTGTGCCTGTTTTAATGCCCTTTTTATCACTTAAGATGCAAGTAAACAATGCTACCAAACAGTCAAACATGAGCTTTAAACAATAGAAATACCATTAGACTGAAAATCAAGACAATATCTTTTACAACACAAAAACAAGAAAAAAGGTAAAATAATCAGATAAAAAGACTAAAGAAAGCACTAGGAGTCATTTGTGAGCTTATTTGATTTGTTTTGACCATATAATAGATGTTTTGTATCATATTCAACACAGTCTCACGGCATTTCGTGTTATAGTCACAAAATTAATCTATTGATTCGTGTTCAACACGATTTTCACATTTTCTTCGTGTCACACAGAACGATTTTAAAAGCAATGTAAATAACAACAAATTCGAAGAAAAAAGAGAAAAAACATTATTCAGATTTCAGTGTTCTGACACAGAACAATTTTAGAAGCAATGTATTTATATTGGTAGCATGTTTCGTGCCTGCACCAAATAATAACAAATGATAAGGAAACATTTTTTTTTTTAAATATAGATTTCAGTATTCTGAGGGTCTGAGCCCCATTTATTTTATTTTCCTCGCGGACGGCAAAAAAAACTCTGACATTATACTATTTCAAATAAACGGGTTAGGCTTAGGGTAAGATATTGAGTAAGAAAATGTTTTTATGAACCACACAGCTTCCGGTCTTCCAAGACCCGACCGGACAAAAAGACGTGCTGCAGGCATGAAACATACAACCAATAGAAATACATTGCTTTTAAAATCGTTCTGTGTGACACGAAAAAAAGGGGAAAATCGTGTTGGTGAACACGAATCAATAGATTAAATTAATTTCGTGACTATAACACGAAATGCCGTGAGACTGAGTTGATATATTATACATTACACTACTCCTAGTTTATAGCCTACTATAAGCTAATTATTCTTCAAGAGAGTAGTGCCTTTTCAAGGGAACGTTTCTGGTAGTTTGTGTGCTGAAATGTCCAAACATTGATGTGTAATGACTTACTCTTACTTATCATATAACTGCAAATTCATCTCAAGGAAATGCACAGTGAAGTAAAAACTTGAAATACATCTTGAAAAAAACTATTTTCAAAGACTAAAATCATGTTATTACATAATAAACTTTGCCTGTTGAAAGCTGTCTCCACACTGACCTCTGCTGGCGGAGCAGGACAAAGGTCTTTATTTCCCCACGTGGTTTTAGAGATGCACAAAGATAAAAGTCTCCAATGGAAAACATGGCACAGCATCTGCCTTGTGTGTGTCTTTAACAAACACCTTCATAATATATCTTTCATGAACCCTGAGTGTTTTTGTGATCTGTCTTTAACAACAACAACAAAACCAGGTGAACATATGGATCAAAACTCATCAACAGTGAAAGGAAATTAGTCATGAATGAAAGTGCAGCTTCCCACTTACATTATGCTCCTATTTTATTATTTATACGTATAAAATATATCAAAATGGATACGAAAAAACGTAAAATATGTACTTCTACTGTAAACAACAGTGGTTTGAGTTGTATGTATACTAACAATTGTATGGACTATTTAAATAACTCAAATAAGCAGATACAAATACCTTGGCACACTTTATTGTAAAGATATGAGGACCACAAAACAGAAAGTCGTGTGTGTGTGTGTTTGGCCTAGCATTACTATACTTGTCTTGTGGGGACCTACATCTGTTTACACAGTCACGTGTGGGGACTCGCCTCCCTTATGGGGAATCATTAATTTTAGGGTGAAGACTTGGTTAGGTTTAGGCTAAGGTTAAGGGTTAGGCATGTGTTGGTTATGGTTAAAGTTAGGATAAGTCTCCAGGAAATGCATGTAAGTCAATGTAATATCCCCTGAAGTGGTGTGTGTGTGTGTGTGTGTGTGTGTGTGTGTGTGTGTGTGTGTGTGTGTGTGTGTGTGTGTGTGTGTGTGTGTGTGTGTGTGTGTGTGTGTGTGTGTGTGTGTGTGTGTGTGTGTGTGTGTGTGTGTGTGTGTGTGTGTGTAAAACTGTCCGATTTCTAGTTCAAGGTGCTTTTTTCTCATTTAAAAACTGCACACATAAACATCTAAAATGGTATTGTTGTTTTATTTATGTCGTTTTTCCTCCATTCAGAATATGTCTGTTTTACCTGTAATACGTTAAACACCATTGTTGTATTTTGGTAACACCGGAAGTGCAGTTCTCTATTCCGACTGGCTTCACACTGGTGTGGAAAAGATGGCTGCTTCGGCGGCAACGGCGAGTTCTTCCCCCGGTTTGTGTCCAAATTACGCCGTGATTTGCTCTTTCCTGGAGCGCTACGGAGCTCTGTTGGACTTACCGGAGCTCACCTTCCCGCAGCTGGAGAGATATCTACGGGACACATCCTCAGCTGAGGCCGGTAAGCAAGCTTCTTCTTACGGGGAGGAGGAGAATAAAACCATGCTAACGGGCTAGCAGCTACGTTAGCATGTTGTGTGTTATTGTGTGGTTTTATAACCTTCTCCTTCACTTAAATGTTTATTAACTGCGTCACAGAGCTGTTTTACGAAGTGGAACATATATCTGTGTGTATTTAAGTCTTTATTCAGTTGTGAGCATGCGGAATTAGTCGAGGTTTTCTGTCACTTTTGAGCTTTTGAAGAGGGCTTAATTTGTCTCCAGGCTGCTTTTATCTGCGTTCAAACACAACACAGGCAGTAAATGTGGGGTCGATATTAGTGTTTGAGAGCAGTTCAGATGGAGCTAATTCGTGCAACACGTCGAGGTTTTTGATAATTAATATGTGCAGATGTCATTGTGTGCAACGAACACGTAATTGTGCACTTTATTTACAGTTACATTATTTTGCCATGTAGTGGTTAGCTCAGTGTGTGTCAAGCTAACCGTCATGACGACAAGGACTTCCGGTTGAAGCTTTCAAATTAAAATATGTAAACAATGAATTAGAAAAAGTTGCACTGGATGTTTATGTATAAGTACAATGTGTAGCACTGTATACCATCCTGTTGATACTTCCACAAAATATAGACATTTTTTTCATCTTCTCAGTACACTTTCTTTAACTTATTAATTATATAATAATACATTGGATTTGTATAGCGCTTTTCCTAATGCTCAAATACGCTTTACATCAAATCAATTTGGGGCTAGGGTTAGTTATGAAAATGCTGATTAATGTGTGTGGTGTAAACCCACATTTCTTTATTAATTACAGCAATTAATTAGGATTCTGTCACTGTTATTTACTGTTGGAATGGGGCCAAATTATGCTCAAATCCACCATTTGTTCCCATGTTTTTATTTTCTTCAGTTCCAAAGCTGCTCGTTGATCTTCACGTTAAGTTGCTGAGGAAAATCGGCAAATCTGTGTCAGCGGACAGATGGGAGAAATATCTACTGAAGGTAAAATAATGACTTATATAACATCGATGTTGTTGTGGAGGATAATGTTTTTTAAATTATGTTCACACTAGAATATAAAGAGTTATGGTTTCAGATTTATTTCTTTAATTTGCTGATTTGAATATCTGTTTTTCCCGCAGGTATGTCAGGAGTTGAACCCAACGTGGGCATGGGAGCTCGAGCAGAACGGATACAAAGATCTGTCGACAGAGTGCAAGACGGGGATACTTAAAGTAAGAATGCATATAGCTTTGTTCTGTTGTACATAGAAAATGCATTTGGTACGTTGATAGGTTAGATTGAACAGTTCAAAGCTACTAGTGTTTAGCTTAGTCTCTACTATTGTACATCAATTGACGAGCCATACATAGTTGATCTTCACTTGAAGGCGTACAATATTTAAACCACAATTATTTTTCATTGTTAATTCTCTTTTCCACTCTTTTAAGTATTTGTATTTTAATGCCTGAACAAACTTCTGTGACGATGTTAAAAGATCTACCTACACGCACGGGATTATACATTTCATTTTAAAGTACCTTTTTTAAAAGTATTGTAACAAAGTGTTTCACAATCAAAGACGGATGTAAAAAGAAAAGCAGACAGAAAAAACGTTAATGTTAGTGCAGCTTTTACGAAGTGCATTGCAGAAATGTTTCCCCGAAAAACTGTAATATACTATTCTCGACTTGAATGTCAAATGTGTGTGTGGCGCAGTGGGTTGTGCGTTGGTGTTGGGGTCAGGGGGTCACAGGTTCAAACCCCACTGCAGTCAGCATGTCGTTGTGTCCCTGAGACTCTTCACCCCAAATTGCTCCTGTGGGGATCGTCCACAGTATTGAGTATGTAAGTCGCTTTGGATAAAAGCGTCTAACAAGTGACATGTCATGTAATGTAAAAATATTCATAACAAATCAAGTGTTTTGGAAATCAATACAGTATCATAAAACATAATCTAGAGATAATGCATATTCTGTAAACCCATTATAAACACCTCACTTGCAATTAGGGCTGGGCGATTTAGCCTAAAAATAAAATCGCGATTTTTTTTCTAACTAATGGACAATTTTCGATTTAAACCTCGATTTTTTCTGTTTTTTTCTAAACAAACCAGACCAAGGCTCTTTTAAGTGAACGACGGGAGCCGGCTCTCGCCCGCGAACGAGCCGTTTTTGTTGCGGAGGGATCTAGATCGGCATGAAGGCACATTATGCAATGTGCACATCATCCCGCTTATTACACATGGCCACATTCTCAACAAAGTAACGACATGACTCCCAATATTAATGGAAATGCTTTTATGGATTTAGAAAATGATTTTATTGATTTAAAAAATAGTTTTATGTATTGATTTAAATTGACATGCATCCGCTAAGAAAAGTAGTCCGTTGTTACCGTTTGAACTAACGTAGCAACGGCAGGAACGGCTTCGATAGTGTTTTTGAGGAGCTTTTTTGATTACAGATTTGAAAAACATCGTTGCTTGCTTTAAAAGTAGCACAATTCATGATGTCAAACCTTGGAAAGTATCTAGATATCCCTGCCCCTAATGCCAAAGTAAACTGGCAACTGAATATGTGTCGCCGTTTGAT